AGCTCAACGAACCCAACAGAGCAAAGGGTTGGATTTTTGGCATCTGAACCATACAGGTTGGATTCGAAAGATCTAAACCGTACAGGTTGGAGATTTTTCAGTTCTAAAACAGAGAAGAGTTAGCAAAGATCAGATTGGGGAAGATCTCAACCACTCAGGTTTGGCGATTCAACAGCAACAGCGTAATCCTTGGAGATAGGATTTTTGAATCACACTCAGAAGATCAAATCTGAGAGGATTCTTCTACTGGAGATAGGATTTTTGAATCACACTCAGAAGATCAAATCTGAGAGGATTCTTCTACAACAGAATAACAACTTGATCATTAACCGAATTTTCGGTTCTAACAACTCTATTCACAGAGTTCAAACTCGTTCAGAGTTCTTAAACTCATTCAGAGTTATTTATCAAACTTTCCACAAAAGTTCATTGTTCCCACGAGATAGAGACGGTCAGATCGTCAACGGAGAGCAAATTCGACGCGAGCAATCGAAGGAGGCATTCCGTCGCTACCGAGAAGAACCCAGTTTTAAACAAAGGAGAGAACCAAATTCATTTCTCTTCTCTTTTGTAATCAAGTTGTAATCAGAATCAAAGAAATACAAATCAATTTTCTTTATTCTTTTTATTGCAATTTTTCTTACATACAGCGGTCGATCGTGGCGGTCGACCGCAAACAGATATAAGAAATAACAGGTTTAGAAGAAGTTTGGTGATTTTAAAACCCTATTTAAAAATATCAAATAAATTTCAAAAAATATAAAACTTTGGGAAATGATTGTAGATATGATAATACACATGTTACAAAAACTGGTTTTTAAAAAGAACCTCCCAAATAAAAAATATTATTATTTTATAAAATAGTCCAAAACATAAAAATGTAAACATATGAATTTTAACATTTTGGTTAAACCATGTTTTGAAATAATACAAAATGATTTTGTAGACTTAATAGAAGATGTAAACTATTGTTATGAAGTCTATAAATAACGAATATAGTATTTTATCAAAGTACACATATAATGCACTAAAACATAATTTCATGGAACTAAATAAAATTGATATTGATGAAATCATATAAATGCATATAAGTATGAAACAAAAATATATTTTCCAATTGTATTCAATTGTTTCATAGTAAAACTTAAAAACTATCAAACTAAAACATATATGTATATATATAACTATATATATACATGGAAACCAATAAACGTGTATGTGTATATTATATTGAGCTTAAGGTACTAACACACATAATATAAACTCTTAAACTAAATTACCCAAGCTTGATTGACCTTCGATGTAGCTCAACTTGGTACACTTGCGGATGAAGCTTGAACTTGAATCTTTAACTTTAAATTGCGTAGGCTTCACTCCACAATTCCGCCAATCTCCATTGGATATGATCGTGAATGCGTAATTTCATCCATCATCCAACTCATTGTTTGCCTAGAATAAATACGAAAATACAAACACTAGACAAACAACATTAGAAGTAAATTGTTTGTTAAATCATCATCAAAACAAGAAGGCTAACACCATCAGTCAACTGATCAATCGACCGAATAAGAAAATAAAAACTTTTAAAGATTGCAGGCAGTTTCATCAGTCGACTGATAAAAACCACCAGTTGACTGATAACAAGTCTTCAGTCTGAATTGAATAGTAAAAACAAAATTCAAACCTCTCTTTTAAAAATAATAAATAAATTCCAAAAAATATAAAACTTTGGGAAAAGTTTATTAACATGAATATGAACATGTTAGAAAAGAAAATTTTCAATTTGCTCTTACCATTTGTGAAATCTCAGAAATATTCAAAAACACTAAAATACATGTGTTTATAAACATGTTAATTTTGACATTTAGCTCAAATCAAGTTTTAAAAACTTATGTAATATTTTTATGAACTTAATAAAAGATGTTAATAATAGTCCAAAGCATATTAAAACATATTTTGCATAAAAACACCTATGATTTGAGAAATATCACAAATAAGTGTGTGTAAATATGCGTTTGAAGAATTTGCACACATTACATATAAACCTATACTAAGTATACCAAGAATGAATCATATGAAGCTTTAACTTGATTGGTTGACTTGATTTGCATATGCTTCAATATCAATATAGTTCATTTTCCTGTGTATACTAAACAACACAAAACAAAAATACTAAAACCAAGATTAGTCGTAAATTATTTGTTAAATCATCATCAAAACAAGAAGGCCAACATGTCCAATAATCTAGCTATGATTCGGGATGATCAGTGGTTGATGGCCTTGGAATGTTATCTGTGTTGTCAGCTCTTGAATGCAAATTCTCATGAGGTGATGTTGATACATTAGCATTAACCACTCGAGGGGGTCTAACAGTATTAAAACTCATGGAGTTAAATGCGTCAATAACCTCTCCCAATACTGCACCAGAGGTTAAAACAATATTGCCCATCTCTTGACTTAAAATCTCCTTTTTGCATTGCCTAATATCATTCAATTTGTCATCTTCACTACATAGTGCTTCCTGAGCTTCTATATCTGCAGTTTGAAAAGAATCATGACTGTGGGCACCGTCATCCTCATTCACTGCCTCCCTAGCTTAATTATTTGGTTCAGGCACACTATCATTGCCCTCCATATTGGACACGTTGGGCAAAACATCAACTTTTCTAAACTGAACTTCAAAGTTAAAGTCACCAGACTTCTTTCTCTTACACAATCTTCTTTTTTTCCCTTGCCATTATTGACAAACTCATCAAAAAAATTATCTTCATCAAAGTCATCATCATTCACTACCTCCCTAGGATCAATTCTGTAATTCTCATCCTCTACAGTGTCATCACTATCACTAGATGAACTTGACTGTTGTTGTGCACTTAACATTTCATCTAAAGAGGCTGATGCACTTGTTTGTTGTGGCAATGTTTCACTGGAAGTTGAAGGATTGGTCTGTAACCTCTTGGGTGTTAGTTTCTTCCTAAAAATTGAAGGATTGGTTGCCTTCCTCTTGAGTGTTACTTTACTGGGTGTTAGTTTCTTTTTAGGAGTGGTCGCTTGTTGCGCATGCACATCTGCCTTATCACCCATAAGAGTGACATTAGTAGTAGTGGCATCAATAATAGTAGATTCTTGTGCTTGTGCTTGACTTGGTTGAGTTATTGATTCAACAATTGGTTGACTCACACCATCTAATAACAACACATCACATGCATCCACAATAGCTTCTACAGGTACATCTACTTCATGATCAACAAAGATTTCAATTGCCTTTACCCTTTCCGCATGTTCTAATATTTCAATTAAGGATTTTTATTATTTAGAGACCTCAATCCACCATTGCCAACTCCTACACCAGGAACATAGTAGAACAAGAAGTTGACATTGTTATACCTAATTGCTTTAACCTCATCCATCAGTCTTTCTATATTCAGTTAATCTTTATCTATAAATCTAACATCAAATCTACCACCAACATAATCTTCCACCCAGCGAAGCAGGAAATTTCCTCAATGTCTGATTTTTAACCATGATTTTTACACCCATCTGCAATATCATAATAAAAAACCCTAATTTACACTAAACCATGATTTCAACCCTTCAACTAACCCTAGTTGTCCTCAATGACCATCTAATTATTGAAATTAGTTTCAAAAATAGGAAATTTGCACTCACCTTTTTCGCCGCGCCATAGACGATGAAATAACCCTAATAATCTCTTCAGCCTCAATGTAGATGGAATATATTCACTTAGATCGTCTGTAATTTGGGGATGATCTCGCTCTCACGCTCAAGGGGAAGAGAGGGAAATAAGGGAAATAAGAGAATGAGGGGAAAATTTTCTTCTAGGGTTTTCTACAGAAACGCCTCAACTCCTTCCCGCTAACTCTTGCCACGCTGGAGTCCACGTTGTGGCCACGTTGGAGTCACGTGAGCCGTCACGTGAGAAAAATGGCCGGAAAATTGGATCCGGCCAAACTTAAGGCCTATTTGTCGCCGGAGTTTAGAAAATATACCAATGTGATACCGAAAAAAAATTATATGCCAACCTGTCACCATGGGTAAACAAAATATACCAATTTGGTCATTTTACCATTTTCTTTATATCCTCCTCTAAGTTTAGTGGAGTAAATTTACTATTTGTGTTAGAGTATTTTACTATGCATGATAGTAAATATTTGGATCCTCAAGTATAGAGCAATAGATATGATTTCTAATTTTAAACATACAATAATCAAATCAAATGTATTAAACCTTAGAGGGAGTCAGATTCAAAATGCAATGCTTAAAAAAAAATAGGGGTCGTGCTTTGCACATGGTACACAATAGCAAACAATAAACCAAATTTGGTCCTTTCTACTAGGAGTTACCGTTCATGATACAGTAATTTACTGTAGCATAAATAGTAAATCGACCCTACTCCTCCATTCTTGAAGTTACTATTTATGCTACACTATTTTACTATATCATATACAGTAAAACAAATCAAATGTATTAAAAGTTGGATTTTTCTTTAAGTATAGAAGAGTATATATGATTTCTAAAATAAATGTATTAAAACTTGGATCCTTCTTAAAGTATAGAAGAGTGGATATGGTTTCTAAATTAAATGTATTAAAACTTGGATACTTCTTTAAGTATAGAGGAGTTGATATGAATCTAATTTTAAGCGTATAATAATTAAATCAAATGTATTAAAACTTAGAGGGAGACAAATATAAAATACAGTGCTTAAAAAAATAGGGGGCCGTGCTTTGCATGGAGCGCACGCTAGTTCTCATATATCCCAACACCAAATTCCTCACCAAATTCAGAATTTTAAACTTGTGTTCGGTTTGGTCTGTAAATTTGCAAAACTACTCGCTAAATTCACGGAAACAAATATCCCCGGAAGTTTTGGGCGAAATTGACAAGAGAACAAATCAGGCCATAGTGCTACAAGATGCGCAGCCCAGGCCCCAGCCCATTAAGACCGGATCACGCTATAGTATCAAACCGCCACAAAATATCCGCGATCTTTCACCCTCCTCTTCGATTTCTCAAAGGTACAATAAAAGAGCCACCTTCGAGTAAAACCTTTCTCCTCTGCTTCCCTCTTTCCTGAAACCCTAATTCCCAAAAAAATTAAAAAAATCGGAAAAAAATGCCGCCAAGGAAGAAAATCGTCAAGAAAGCCCCCGCTCGAAAAACTAGAGCCAAAGCCCAAGCCCCACCTTCCCCCGAACCCGAACCCGAGTCCGAAACCGAACCCGTTAAAGAAAGCCTCACCGCCGGCAGCCACCCAACACCGAAACCCAGTCGGCCCGCTACTGAATCGGCTGCTGAAGCCGCAGAATCGATCGCAACGAAACCCTAGAGCCCAACCAGACGCTGCCGCTGAAACCATAGAGAAAGAACCGCAGCCCGAAGGCGCGGAAAGAAACGAAAGATTCCAACTTGATCCCACTGAAACCCTAGAGCCCCAGCCAGACGCTGCCACCGCCTGCGACTCAAACCCTAGAGAAAGAACCAGAGCCCGCTGCGGTTGAAGAAACCCTAGATGCAGAACTGGTAGCCACTGAACCTCCGAGGAGCCGCTGGCCGCGAAGAAGCCAAAGACTGTTACACGAGTGAGGAAAGTAGTCAAGAAGAAGATCGTTAAGAAATTAGTACCCAAATCAGCTGCGGGGACGAAAGAGGAATCGCCTAAGGCAGTTGAGGAAGTTCAGAAAGTCGAAGAAGAAGCAACGGTAGCAACGAATCCTAACGAGGACCAGCAGTTGGTCGAAGTCCCTAGCTCTGAAGATGCTGCAGTTCCAATGGAGGCTGCTGAAGAAATTAAGAAAGAAGAAGAAGAAGAAGAAGAAGCAGTGAAGGCAACATACCCTAAGGAGGAGCAGCAAGATGTAGAAAACCCTAACAATGAAGACGCTTCAGTTCCAATGGAGACTGTGCAGGAAACAGCGACTGCTGATTCTGAGAAAGTTGAGGATGTTACAAAAGAAGAGGAGGGGGGTGATTTGGAGATGGAAGTGGCTGGAAACATGGAGGCTGGAAGCTCAGAGAGTAAGAGCAGGAAGAAAACCGAGATTTTTATTGGAGGATTGGATAGAGATGCAAAGGAGGAGGATTTGAGAAAGGTTTTCGGGGAGGTCGGGGAGATTGTTGAGGTCAGGATGATAATGGATGGGCAGAGTGGGAAGAATAAAGGGTATGCCTTTGTGAGGTATGCTGATGCCAGCCAGGCCAAGAAAGCAGTTGCCCAATTCGAAAAAGTCGAGGTATTGTTTTTTGCTCTTAAAGCTTTAGTTGTGTCAAAATTACATTATTAGAATTTCAAATTGCGGATAGATGAACATGTTTGGTTACAGATCTGTAGGATTATATAGCATTTTGTTCGGTAAAATGGTTTCTATTGGTCTGTGTTAAGAGTTTAATTTTGATTATTTTCTGATTAGGACGAAATACAAGATAAATTGGTGTATGACTTGAAGGGACTGACATGCACTTGTATTTTTGTTGACTAGTATGATAATATAACTCTGCGGACAAGTTTATTAGTTGTACTACATCCTCTGAAAGTTATGATGATGTAGCTATCCATATAATGGTTTTGTCATATGGTCCCAACTTTTGGCAATATTTAAATTACAAGATAGATCTTAAATGATAATTATCGTGTAACACTAATAACAAATAAAGTGAGAACTTGCGAAGTTCTTTAGGTTTACTAGTAAATATGCAATAAGCAAGCTATGCTAACCCATATTATTACAAAAGTTCAATGTTGCAATTCATCTCCGGGTATTTTGGCTATGTAAATCTTGTGCATTTCTGTATCTAATAAAGAAAATATGTTAGGATCTTGCTCTATTTCATACCATTTTCTCCCATTAAACTGTATTGACTTAGACCTACCACTTTTTTCAGTTAAACAAGCTATGTCCATTATAAATAATGAATGCATAATAGCACCCATACTGTATGATTGTATGGCACACTCATTTAGATATATTATTCTCTGCAGAGCTCACATACGATTAAACAAATATAGACATCTTTTTAAGTTTCTTGATTTGATGGGCTCTGATGCCAGTTGATGAGGAACGACTAAAGGACCTAGGTTTATGAACTAAAAAGAAGATACAAATTAAGCCTCAATTTTGAAAACTCACATTCTTAAAATAATACAAGATGGGTCTAACACTCATACATACATGCCTCATAAAATACGAGGTGAGCCTTACACCCAACAACTCACATGTCTAATATTGCAAATCACATGTAACAAAATAAACTTTGAAGGTTGTGGGAGGCGGACTGAAGCAGTAAGGTATTAGTTAGCTTGTTAGGGCTTAACTGGAGAAAGCACCAAGTAAATTTTTAAATAGGAAAAGATCGAATTACTCATTAGTTATTATTACATTCAATTAGATGCAATTTTATCCTTCATATAATTGTAGGATTAACAAAGAAAATTAAAAAAATGTCAAAGTTAGTGAAGAGCTTGCACATAGATTATCAGATAATATGAGCATTTACAACCGAATTACATGTAAGTTTTAACTACTGGATTACAGGTTGGCTGGGAAAGAACCAAATAATTAACAAGTAGTTCGTTAATTGCCAATACCATTTGATAAATTTTTGTTGTTAGTGCTTGGAGATGTCATCGTCACATAGGTCTCAAAGTCATTGCCGAGAAGAGGAGAGGAGCTGATGAGAGAAATTAGGTTTTTGGGTTTTTCGTGAAACACTTTAATCACAACAACGGAAAAGCGAACTTGGAGAAAGGAATTACATCATGATTTTGGGCTTTTTAATAAATCAAAATATTCAATTGGATCAGCTTGCTGGTTGCAAATGTTACCTGCTCTGCTTTTTTGACAACTTTGGGGGCTTTCGTTTAAACTGTTTTGGGACTACTCTTTTGCTACAAATTTCTCGTGCCTTTTTGAGTGGAAAGCACCTCCAATCTTAATAGCCGCTTGCCTAATTGCAGCAGATAATTGGCACTTCTGCTTTTATAAGCGCTTGTTGCAAACTTTCATGAACTTTTTATCTACAATCATATTTACATCGTTAAACAAAACTTTAATAACAAATAAAATCATACCCAACAGATACATAAAATAACCAGTCGTAACAAAATAATAAATTTAATTCCAAATAAATAATAAAATCAATTATCACTACCAGTGTTGTCAATGCGCACAGCGCAATGCGGGGCGCAAAGCATCTTTACGCGCACATGCGCAAGGCGCAACGCGATACGCGCGCCCGAGTGATGCGAGGCGCATACCGTACACATAATTTTTCAATATATGTAATCAAGAGCGAAAGAACATGTTTTTAGAACTTACTTGAAAAATATCATGATAAATAATATCTTACTACAAAATCACAATGTAATGCCTTAATTTCTAATGCTAACACCCAACATAGTAGCAAAATTCATAAATTTTTAAATCAAATATTAAATCAAGATTAATATACAAGCAAAGGATTAGTAATTGTTCTCAATTGAAGGCTATTAAAAAGGTCTAATGGATTTATTTTGCTTTTTGGGATATGGAATATCAAGTATAAAGACTCGATTGAAATGTTAACAAATAAAACTATATGAGGATATGTACTATATGCACCCTACACAAAGTAAGGATGTACGCGAGGCGCAAAGGCGCTGCTGCATCAGATGTGGGGCGCTTCGTCACCGTCCCGCATCATAAGGCGCATGAGGCGCAATGAGGCGCGCGCCTTTGAAAACACTGATCACTACATTGCCTAGTGACACGAGTCCTAACTAAAAATTAAAATCCTAAGAAATTTTCCTAATTTCAACAAATAACAACATTTTGAAACTGTCTTATCCTACATCAAATCTCTCGTTGTCAGATAAAGCTCCGGTATTGAGTTTTAAAGTTGGGTGAAAAATCTGACTTGAGGTCTTTAAGAAGTATTTGCAGCTTGGTGAACTTAGACACAGTTGTCAAAATATTGGTTCTTCATGATAATGTTGCTCTGCAACCAACAACGGATATGTTAAGGTCAAACACAAATTGATGGCGAACGGTTGAAGGATCTAAGTTTATGGCAAAATAGAAAAAGATACAAGTTGGGCCTCACATTCGACAACTCACATGTGTAATAATATGTTAGGTTCTAACACCAATTGATAAGGAACAATTGATGGATCTACGTTTAAGGGGAAAAAGAAGAAGAAAAAGATACATGTTGGGCCCACCCGACAGCTGACATAAGTAATAGAACACAAGATATTCATGACATAAAGCAACTCACATGCCTAATATTGCAAGTCACATGCAAGAAAACAAATTTCATAAGCTTTCTTTCCCCTCCTAACATTAACAAGTTAAATATGGCCAATTATATTTATATTATAACACAAAATCCTATTAACAAATGATTTCCTAACTGACATATAACATCAAATAACAAATCCTGATAAAATTACAAATCCAATCCTAAACTAAATAATAAAAGTAAATCCTAATTAAATAAACCAATTCGTAAGGAACAATTGATGGATCTAAGTTTATGGGGAAAAAGAAGTAGAAAAAGATGCAAGTTGGGCCTCACCCGACAACTAACATATGTAATAGAACACAAGATGGTCATCACATAAAGAAACTCACATGCCTAATATTACAAGTCACATGCAAGAAATAAACAAATTATATGAACTTTCTTTCCCCTCCTAACATTAATACGTAAAATATGACCAATCGTATATTCATATTTATATTATATTATTATAACACAAAATCCTTATAACAAATGAAATCCTCACTAACATATAACATCAAATAACAAATCCTAATAAAATTACAAATTCAATCCTAAACTAATTAATAGAGTAAATCCTAATTAAATAAACCAATTGATAAGTAAATTACAAATCCTAAATAAACAAACGAATTGATAAGTACCAAGTGATGGATCTAAGTTTACAGGGAAAAAGAAGTAGAAAAATATACCAGTTGGGCTTCACCCGAGATATGTAATAGAACACAAGATGGTCATCACATAAAGCAACTCGCATGCCTAATATTGCAAGTCACATGCAAGAAAACAAGTTTTATAAACTTTCTTTCCCCTCTTAACTTTAATAAGTATAATATGACCACTCATATTTATATTTTATAACAAAATCCTAATGACAAATGAAATCCTAACTAACATATAACATCAAATAACAAATCCAAACAAAATTACAATTTCAATCCTAAACTAATTAATAAATCCTAATTAAATGACAAACTCAATAATTATTATCCTACCTTAACTAGAACTGAAATACTAATAAAATTTTCTAATCTCCACTGCAATATTTTGAAACAATTTTGTCCTGCATCACCTTTTTCTTACGCTTTTAGTAGAGTCTGGTGAACCAAACAGATGATGCTAAATACTAGGATGTTCACGTTTGGTTGCCTATACTGAAAAGTTTTGAGTAATTGGAAATTTCCATGTTTAATAACCCAAGAGTTGTTTTATTTATTTATACTTTTTTTAAAATGAAAGCTGAATATTATCAGAAGGCATTTGTGTAGTATTGTTATCAAAGAGTCCAATCTTTTAGTTATGCTCAGAATCCTATTTTGGAATACTTCTAGGTCGGATTTTAAGTTGCAATCAGTTTGATGTCAACCTTAATTTAAAGCAGTAATGAAATAGAACAGTCGCATAAATTTCTGTTATTAAATGACTGAAGTTGGTGCTGCTTGGCTCCTTGAGACTTATATTAATATGCATTTTAGATTATCAAATATACTGTCTTGATTTCAGATATGTTTCTGTTTATTCCTTACCCGTGCTTTGCATTTTAGAATTGAAGAAACATGTTCATCATATCTGGATATGTATGGGAGCTCTGTACGTTAACGCCCTTTGTATATTATAGCAGTTAAGGTTTGATTCATGACTACTTGACCTGTCTGTCAATTGCAGAATAGTGATTTTTTAGTTGTTTAATTATACGTTTTTGTAATACTGATTGTTGGGGTTTCCTATAACTAGATTCTTCTTGTCCATGTGCTGTTCACTTCTCTATGGATTTAGTCATGAGGTCACATGACTTGGCACTGATGCGACATTAGTCTGATATTTGTTTAGAGAATTAGTCTACCACGTTTCTTTTGTTGATTGTCTGGGGACCTTTTTAGTTTTATTCAACTTCGCCTGACCTTTCATTGTGCTTACTTATTCTGTGATTCTGAATTGAAGGTGTGTGGAAAACTTTGTGGTGCTTCAGCTCTTAAGGGGAATGACACAATTTTTCTTGGGAATATTGACAAGAAATGGAAGAAAGACGATGTAAGTATTTTGTTTGGTTAGATTAAGCAGTTTATTTGTTGGTGAAACATTTACATTTGTAAACTCTTAACTGATTTTATCTTAATTTCCTATTCTACAGCTGTGATTAATTTCATGTTCTCTTGTTGAGCAGATTGTCAAGTTTCTACAGGAAATTGGAATAGAGAAGATTGAAGCTGTTACCGTCATGCCTGATTCTAGCAATGCAGACTCCAACCGTGGGTTTGCATTGGTTGAACTTGAAACTAACAAAGATGCAGTAAATGCTTATAAGAAACTTCAGAAGAAGGATGCTTTTGGTAAGGGCCGGAGTATTAAAGTTGATTGGGCTGAACCATTGGATGATCCAGATGAAGAAGAGATGAAGAAGGTCTCTTTATACCCCATCCCAACCCCCCTTCTTCTTATGGACACCTTTAAATGTGTGGATGAGAAGCATCCACGTCACTACCAAGCATCAATTTTGTGCTTGGTACCAAGCATACTCATTATTCACACCCCCCTCCCCCCAACACGCACGTGCTGTGTGTATGCTAAAGTTATATATCCTGGGTATTAGTTTGTATCAAATGTGAAAACCGGCACATGCTCGCTTGCTTGCCCATGCTATACTTGAGGATATTCTTTTTCGATCAACTGTGATGAGTGGGAATTCTATTCATTTAGACAATTTTACCCTGATCATTAGAATGCCATACTGGGTTGGGGTCTCTCGGGAAATTTCATTAAGTAGGCTTTTACACATGGTGGTGCTGATTATCATCTAATTTTGACATGAAACATGATTTTGTTAGTTTCTATAGTTTCTAAATTCATGCTGTTTATTAACGTTGGATTGCTGCTTTGTCAGAATGCATTAGCTAAACCATTTACGGTCCAAGTATGTTATGTGCGGATTCCAACTGTTTTACAAGTATTGCGGTTGCCTTAGCTAAACCATGTACAGTCCAAGTATGTTATGTGCAGATTCCAACCTTTCAAACTCTTATGTTTATATGATAAACATAACATTTGTTGCGAGTTGCGTAAGATTTTAGATGTCTTTAACCAATATAGTTGAAAACTAATGTTTATTATCTTAATTAACTGAATTGTCTGAATTCAAACAAATTATAGAGTCCAGGTAACAACATAGACCAAAAGTTCACTTCAGATATTTTATTACTATTAGACCCTTAGTAATGTTTTACGTACTTATGCAGAAGAATTGTAATTCTGTTGTTTATTAATTGCTAATGAATATTTATCATTTTTCTCATGTTATTTTGCTCTTGCTTTCATATAGGTAAAATCAGTTTATGCTGAAGGTATACCAGATTCTTGGGATGAAGAAAAAGTAAGAGAACCCTTTAAAAAGTTTGGGGAGATAGAACGAATTGTCCTTGCTCGCAATATTAAATCATCAAAGAGAAAAGATTTCGCCTTTGTTAACTACCAAAACCGAGAGGCTGCTCTTTCATGCATTGAATCGTTTGATAAAGAGGAGTTAACTGATAATGGCTCAAAGGTTTTCTATTTGTTTATTTATATTATAATGGTGAGATAATAATGTTTGTTAGTTGGTCACTGACTAGTTGTCTCTAATATTTTCCAGGTAACTGTGAAGGTATCACTGGCTAAACCTGGACAAAAGGGCAAACAAAGCAAGGGAGGGCCAAATTTTAGCAATAAAAACAGTGTCAAAGGAACGCCCAAAGCATTTCAACGTGAGTTTATTTTTTCAGTTTTAGATTCCCATAGTTAACATTCTTCTTATGTATTATTCTTTCGTGCTGTGGTGATGTTCTCTGGAAGGATGCTGTTTTAGCCTCTTGTACCTAAGTCAATTTCTTCCACTTGTAATGCCTTAATTCAACACTCATATCTGGTGATCTAATTCTACTAATGACAGCATGAAGCATAAGTTGTACCTCTTGCCTAGTGCATGGGCACATCTCAACCAAAACCCATCATGAACTAGTTTTGCTCTTGAAACAGCTAGTTTAGTGATCTTTAATGGTTAACCCTCTGGTGTGGTTTTTCTCCACAGCTATTTGTCTATTCCAATATCATAGAGAATCATTTAAGAAATAAGTGCAGGTCATCTCCTGGAGGTCTTTGAACTTGTTTATGCTTGAGGACTGTGACCTTGGTTAGGTGTAGACTAAAACTCTATATTTTAGTTCTTCTGGCTGTATTAACATTATATGGAATTTTGACTCAACGATTTTGGTCTTATATCTATATATTGGTATTAACATAACATGTATGAGGACTTCATGCTTTGTCAAATATGCTTATTAATTGCTAGTGTATAGTATTGGTTGAGCACTGATTATACCAGATTATGGTACAAATAGCACCTTCATTTTGCTTTCTTAAATGGAATAGCTAACCCATTATTTAAAGAATGTAGTTTCTTTAGTATTTCCTTTAAGGTCCAGTTACTGTAATATACGTTTGGTATAACAGCACACCAAGAAATATTGTTGTTTGACTGTATTTGATCTTTCTCACCTGTTTCTTTTAGGAAACTCAAAGACTGATATTTCTTTCCGTAAGGGGAAATCATCTGGAGGGGGTTACAGCAGTAGTGGTCATGTGAGGTCTTCTACAAATTATGAACCCTTGCATGCTTCAAGAGAGCAGCCACCATGGAGACAGGGGCAAGTTGGTTATACTGGAGGTATGTATGTGCCAAAATAATTGGACATGTGCTCATTTCGTGGGTTCCTCTTTCATTTGCATTCTTTCCATAAAGGCTGGAACATATTTGTCTCAAGAGAAGCTGTGACCCAATTCTTTGTATCTTAGCAATGTTACCTTTACACTATAACTTCTGTAATTTATATCTTTTGCCTTCGCGCGCGCGCGTGTGTGTTATTTATTTATTTATTTTTATTTTATGCTTTGAGACTTCACACTAGGGCTGAGCACGGTTCGGTCCGGTTCGGTTTTTAACAAAATTTGAACAACCGAACCGAACCGCCCATTATTCAAAACCGACCCGAACCATTGCAAGTCGGTTCGGTGCGGTTCGGTTCGGTTTGTTCGGTTCTAACTTCATCAAACTTTGAGTGTTTTGCCTGAACTATAAGGAGCATTTTATAAGGCGGTTTGTTCGGTTCTAACTTCATCAAACTTTGAGTGTTTTGCCTGAACTATAAGGAGCATTTTATAAGGAGCATTTGCGCGTGTAGGAAATGAACTAGCGTTTTACATGAACTATAGAGACTCTGAGTGGTTTGCCTCTAATGCCGACTGCTACAGAAGCTAACGCTATTACAGCAGGACCAGTAATGAACCTTATCGGCGTTCCAATTGTTGCATGTTTCTTTCCACAGGCTATTATCCTTGGTTGCAAAGCCATGAACAATCCTAAGAAGACAATTTTATTTCACATCCTCATTTCTAATGTGATCCACAAATTCTTTAATCTTTGGTACAAATATCACCTAAACTAAACATAGCCATTCGCAATTCAGCATTTGATAACATTGTCACTGAATTCTCCAGTATAGCAGGCTTCTGTATTCCCCATCTTTAAGTATGGTTTGTGCGAAACTTTACATAAAGCCATTTTAATGGGAGAAAGCTTGGTTAGTGATATTGATGATGGTAGCGGTGATGAGTTACATCATCCAGACTGCTAGCCCATATATGTGGAGATTAAAGTAGAATAACTTATGTTTATGAGCTAATTTCTCAGAAACCAAACATATAAAAAAATGCAACTTTGCATCATTAATTCATACTATCCTACTAAAAAAATGACTCACCTGTTGATTCGATTTCTAACTGATCAAGATATCCATTCGCTCCAGTATAAATAGTAGCTATCTGTTCTTCCACCGTAAGAGGGTCTGCTTGGGATTGTTTAAGCAACTCGCGTAATCGTTGACCTCTTGCCAATTGATTCTGAGTAGCTTTATCAAGATCAGAAGCGAATTGCGCAAAGGCCTCTAACTCTGCGAATTGAGCTAGTTCCAATTTTAACTTACCGGCTACTTGTTTCATGGCTTTATTTGAGCGGCTGGGAAGTGGGTATTCGGTCGGTTCGGGTAGTTCGGGTTGAAATTTTTTCAACCCGACCCGAACCGCCCTACTCATAAAACCGAGTTTTTCGGATTGGTTCGGGTCGGTTCGGTCGGTTTTTTCGGTTTGGACCGAACCATGCTCAGCCCTACTTCACACACCTTCCTTCTTGGTACTTCTTTCATTTTTTTGAAGACAACCGTCCATGTTGGACTGCAACTCGTTTTAATCCTCTATTTTTCTAACTAGTTCTTTACTGATTGTGATATTGATTAGCATTTTCTAGACTTTTACATTTTATACCAGGTATGTAAGCCATAACTGATTTGCATTGTTTTCTAACTTGACCATCAGATGAATAGAGCTTTTGGGAAGAAAAGATAATATATTATCCAATGTATTGACGTGCTTAAATACAATAGCAAGGAGAGAAGTTATGGAATCCCACACGATGTGGGACTAAAATAAAGAAAATGAGATAGCCTAACTACATTATTTAACACTTGATTGTGATTGCTTCCAGTCATCAGTCATTACTTGTCAAGTTATTTGAGCTTCTTTGTCATATTTTTCTCTTAGGGTGGAAAGATGGAGCATCTGGTTGTTGCATATTTGGCTTGAAAGAATTCACTAAATATATGCATAATTTTTTTTCAGTTATTCAAATATCAACTGTTTCTCTGAGTCTATTTGATTCTACAATAACTCAACTGACTATATTACGATTTAAGAAGCTCTCTCTTTGTATTCAGCAACTTAGTGAGATTCTTCATATATTACTTGTGCTTATGATGCCAGGCCCTTCGATGCATGGATATAGACATGGTGCTGAATGGAAGCGTCCTTTCTCTTCATTGGTAATTTCAGAAAAATCCCAAAGAATGTAGGTATCCTGCAGGCATCTAACTCCTAATAACCTGCTTAATGCTACAGGGAGATGATGCTTCATATTCAGATTTTAGAGGGTATCCTCGGCCTCGAGTGGACAGTTTTCCCTCTTCAGGACCAAGGTTTCCTTGAACTCTTCACACAATGTTTTTTTCATTTTCATTTTTAATTTATTAGCGATTATTAAGTTGATTTGTTGGTATTTTTATTAGCCATGGAGGTATGCCTCATGGTACAGCTGGACCACCACATCCATATTACCAACGCCAGGGCGCCGGATATCCAGCAGGTAAGTTTCTGAGTATTTACAAGATGTGACAGGAAAATGCAATGATTTTACATTTTGTTCCCTTGAATTTTTCAGGTGCTCCTTATGGATCTACAGAGTATCCAGCCACTCATCAGGTATACCTGCTTACTATATACAAAATATCTTCTCGTATAAAAATTTAAAAAAATTAAGAATGCTGCAAGCAATATTATGTATAGTTGTTCTCACGGTCTGTCTTAACTTTCTATAATATGTGTAATAAATATAGAGGGATGGCATGTGATGGTTTTGAAGTGTGAGTTACTCTGCAACAGTTAAGGCCAGGGCCGGAGTGAAAGCCAACTCGCCAACGTCAAGATTTTCAAGCGTATCTTATAGTTCATGAATCTACATTGGGTTTCTGGTAGCTGCTAAAGAAATAAAATGCATAATCCACTTTACCTTGATGATACTATTGCATATATTGAAACAAAGTGGTAACCTTTATACTTCTAATTCAAACTTAGTACATATCACTTTAATATATGTAACTTGTTCTTGCCTTCGATAAATTGAAAAAAAACTTATATAAATTTGTTAGGAAAATACAAAAGTAGTTTAAGTGAGACAACTAAACAAATATCTTCAATGTATTTACTCGATAAAGTTTAGTTGTTTTGAGTTGCGAGTGCGAGTTACACGCAGATTGGCTTAAGCCTTAGGCGCTGCAACAGAAGGGCTAATCGCAAGAAAACAAAAACACTTGCAACTGCACAAAATGATCCTGTTGCATACAATTATTATTTCAGGCTTCCAAATAAAGTATCAAGTTGATCAGATCCATGACCAAGGATGTTTCAGACCCAAAAGAAATATGTTGCTGAAAATTTCTAAGATTCAGTTTTCCCCCCCTCCCCAAAACGTGCAATCTGAAATTGTAAGCTTGACTTGCTACTGATATTGTTCAAATATTAGAAATCTATATTAGCACACGTAAAATGTGAATGCTGACTTGAATAAGATAAGGACATCAGCTGAAACGGACCAAGAAGTTGAAGAGACATATGCTCGTACTCTTTATTTTAGTCCCTTTCTAGTATCAAAAATATATAAGTTGTACACGACCATGCTTGCTATTCTTTACCGTATTTTTGTGTTTATTCAGACCATCGGGTTCAACCTCTACCATTCAAAATCCATGTTTAAATGGTTGGATATCAGATTCATTAGCTCCAGGAGTGAATATGAATATGAATATGATAAAGCTTTCTGTATCTCAAAATCAATTCAAATTTATTAGTTTTTTTGGTGCTCAAATTGATGATTTCTTTTTTTTGGTGGTTTGGTATACTGACACGAATCACGATTGATCTCAGGTGAGGCCGGGTGCTCCTTCGCCATATGGGAACAGCTACTACCCCAGATGTAAGTTGATTTCCATGTTAGCTGCTAACTTCGAATAACAACGAATTTTTTTTATTTATAATTTTCAGTATTTCTCCATGCAGATTGACTGTGATGCGGAAAATAATTTCCTGATAAACCCACCATGCAGCCAACAGAGTGTTTCTTGAAGTGCCAAACTCCGCAAAATTTGGCTAAGAAAACACGAGGTTTTTGATGATGGCTATGGTTCAGGCATCTTCATGTATTTTTCTATCTCCTACCGTCAAGGCAACTTAAGCCACTGTCCCCGTCTAGGCTAAGATGCATAAATTATCACCTCATTTGCCACATTCGACCTCATGTTCTGAGTTTTATTTGACCTTTTTAACCTTATCGAGCGCTCCAACTTTTCAAGTTGTACTTGCGTAATACATTTCTTGGTCTTTTTTTTTTTTTCTTTCCCCGAAGTGAATGCTATATATGTTGATGAATTTGAAATATCTGAATTGAATGATGATATATTTATAACTGATTTTAGAAAAATGGAATGTTTTCGGAGAACATCGTGAAGCTCAAAACTGACTCAACTCTGACAAGGTAAAATAGATGGGTGGAGAGAGAGAGGACCATAGGCAGCGTCCATCCTGTTCACATATGCCGGGGACGGCCAGAAGCTTAGAGAGAAATAGGAAGAGAAGAAGTCTGCCATCTATTCAGAAATTGATTATTAAATCTAAATTGTTGAGATTGAGATTGCAGAAGCCAGATGGGTAATCGGTTTGGTATTGAAGGATTGAGAATAGATAGAAGTTGGGAAAAAGAGACTAATTAGAAAGTAGTAGGAGGCTTTGCTTTGGAATTGCTTGAAACTTGATTGCTTCAAAGTTTGGCTACAATGCTTATATTCAAGGTCTATTTATAGGCTCGCAAGGAATTCTTTAGAATTTTTAGATTTTTCATGATTCATTAAGTTTTTAGAGAATTCTATATAATTCTATTTTCCACAATAATTCATGCATATTATATCTAGTTCCTAGATTATTCTATACATTTTTATTTTTACACGCCTCTTATAAATATTCTAGAGTTTTCTAGAATTATAAATTATCTTCTAATATCCCTTCTTAATTTGTAATTTTCATGACTTGTCTAAATAGTATAAAGTTTTTTAGTAGGTATTGCCCTTGTGAAGATGTCTGCTAATTGCTCATTTGTTGAGATGAACTCTAGCTTGATTTCCTTGTATCCACGAGTTTTCCGATGAAATGATGACAAATCTCAATATGTTTGGTTTTTGCATGGAAGACTGGATTCTTTGTCATGGCTATCGCGAACTTGCTGTCGCAGTAGGGAGTAGTTAGTGACTCTTGATCTTGTTGTAGATCAGATTAAATCCTTCAAAGCCATACTACTTTACATGCGGTACTTATAGCTGAGATTGCTTTTGCGATGACAGAGCTATGATCTGTTGTTTCTTTGAGGTTCAGGATATTACCTTTGATCCCAGAGTGAAGACATATCCAAAAGTGCTTTTGCGATTATCAATACAATTAGCCCAGTCGCTGTTAGCGAATTCGGCTAATGCATTGTCATCTTTTATTCTGTATTTTATTCCCACATTCTTTATACCTTAAAGATATCAAAGAATCCTCTCAGCTGTTGCTAGTGTAGCTTGCTTGGATTGCTCATGAATTTGGACACAATGCTTACAACATACAATGTGTCTGGTCTTGTTTTTGTGAGGTAGATCGGTGATCCGACTAGGATTTTGTAACTCGAGGCATCCACCTTCTGCGCTTAATCATTCATTGATAGCTTTTCGTTCAGCAAAGTTGGTGTAGCTATTGGATTTGCAATTCTTCATGTTAAATCTCTTTAAAAGAGCTTCACAGTGCTTTTCTTGATAGATGAGTAGTTCTCCTTCAATTTGTTTTACTTGTATTCCAAGAAAATATTTCATTAAGTCTAAATCTGTCATCTCAAAATTTTCTTTCATCTTCTTAAATTCTTCAATCATCATTGTGTTAGTGTCGTAATAAATCAAATCAACATATGGAAAAACAATAAGGGAGTCCGCACTATTTTTTCTTCGCATATAGAGATGATTCACTTGGGCTCCTTTGAAATCCATGCTTGTGGAAGTGGTTGCCAAATTTGTTGTTCCAAGCCCGCAGTGCTTGCGTCAATCCGTATAGTGCTTTGTGAAGTTGATAAACTTTGTTTTCTTCTCGTTTGACTATGTAGTCCTGTGGTTTTTTGACACAGACTTCCTCTTCAAGTCTTTCATTTAGGAAAGCTGACTTGCAATCCAACTAGAACACTTTGAGCTTAAGTTGAATTGCTAGTGCCAATATCGTCCTTATGGCCTCCATATGAGCAACTAGGTAGGGTATATGTGTCGTTGAAGTCGACTCTTGACTGTTAAGACTAATCCTTCGTGACTAATCAAACCTTGAGCTTCTGAACAAAGCCTCATTCATTGTACTTGGTTTTGTATATTCACTTAAGACGGAAGACCTCCTTTCCTGCTAGAAGATTAACTAGCTCCAATGTCTTATTCTTCTTGATCATGTGTATTTCTTCATCCATTGCTTTTCTCCAATCTTCATCTCGAACAACTTGTTCAAACTTCTGTGGTTCATAAGAGAAGAACGCTACATCATAGGAGTCATAAATCTATACTACTAAAAGAGAACAAATGTCAACTTTTGCATACCCATTTTGCCCTTTACAAATTTCTTAATTATAATTTATCCTATATTTTATCCTTTTCTTCCCTATTTAGCCCTTTGATAACGCCCGACTCTTCTTCCCCTTCTGATCCGCTCTCCCCCCTGCCCCTCTCCCTCTCTCTGTATCTAACCGCTCTCTCCCCTGCCCCTCTACCTCTCACTTTGATACCGCTCGACTTTCCTTCTTCCCCTTCTGATCCGCTCTCTCCCCTGCCCCTCTCCCACTCTTTGTCTCTAAATTAATTTGATGTTCGGCCTCCTCGCTTCAAATTTCTCCGTTTCTCAATGACAGCCCCTCTTCCCTATCTCTCTTTAAATTATTTTGACGATCGATCTTCTCACCTTAATTTCTTTCGTTTTCAAGCGTTGACAATGTACATGTCATTCCCTCAGATTCGTACGTATAATTTGTAATAATTTCTAGGGCTTTCCAATCCCCACCCCCATCCTTGGAATTCCAGGAATCGTGCAACATGAAATCTTAAACAATAGAAGACATGACTCGCCTAAGGTGATATGATGCCTGTTTTTGTGTATATGGAAATATTGATACTATTTTTGGTGTTCTCACAATTATAAGCAAATTCATTGGTGGATGTATGTTTCCATAACAAAAAATCATTATGTGTTTAGGATGCAGCAGATTCTGTTAAACTGTGGGATATTACCAGGAGATGTCATTCAAATATAGAGAATATGGTTTTCGATGGGTAGCATGATTGGAAAAAGAAAATACAGTGTTAATTTTCACATGACAACATTATATTTATATGTATGTATGTGTACATTGTATGCACACATGCATATACATATATGTACATAGATGCATATATGCGTGCGTGTCGAATATATACAGAAATATATACATGTATTTATTTTCTTGCACATCAACATAAATGAATATATATACATCATTACATTTTTGTGCCCGCACGCGTTTGTGTTGTAGGTTGCAAGGAGTCAGCTTGCAAGTTACGGAAAGTAATAATAACGATTTTTTAGCAGATTTCTTCTATTTTTGCGCGTGTTTATGTTGCAGGTTGCAAGGAGTCAACTTGCAAGTTACGGGAAGTAAAAATAATGAATTTTTAGCAGATTTCTTCAATTTTTCTGCAAGTTGTTGGTGGATGACCATCATTATCTCGTATCAAAATAAAAAAGGTCAACTATGAGTCAACTCTAAATTCATAGGCCTCTTTGTAGTTACGATTCAACAAGTTTATTGCTTGCATGTTAACCAATATTAACGAGGCTATGAGAATATGCTACTTACATAAAATCTTAAAGTTATAAGTTTCATATGCCCACAATATTGCTTACAAGTTGAGACCATATAGCCTCAGTGAAGTGCTCAAGTTTTTTCATAAGACCAACCATGAGACAAAAGGAAATACTCTCTATTGATAAGTCTCTGAACGCAAGTTAATTGGAGGAGGGTTCCTTTACTACCTCATGTTTTTTTATTTTTTAATTTTGTTACAGGCCCCTGTTTTCAAGCAACCGTCCATGACAATACCTGGAATTCCAGGAATCGTGCAACATGAAATCTTAAACAATAGAAGACAAGACTTGACTAAGGTGATATTGGTACTATTTTCATGCCTGATTTTTGTGTACATGGAAATATTGGTACTATTTTTGGTGTTCTCACAATTATAAGCATATTCATTGGTGGATGTATATTTCCATAACAAAAGATCATTACGTGTACAGGATGCAACAAGTTCTGTTAAACTATGGGATATTACCAGGGGATGTAATTCAAATATAGTGAATATGCTTTTCGATGGGTAGCATGATTGGAAAAAAAATATAGTGTTAATTTTCACATGACAACATTATATTTATATGTATGTGTGTGTACACTGTATGCACACATACATATAAATATATGTACACATGCATATATGCGTGCGTGTCGAACATATACAAACAAATATATACATGTATTTATTTTCATGCACATCAATATAAATGAATATATAAACATCATTACTTATTTGTGTGCGCGCGTTTGTGTTGTAGGTTGCAAGGAGTCAGCTTGCAAGTTACAGGAAGTAAAAATAATGAATTTTAGCAGTTTTCTTCTATTTTTGCACGCGTTTATCAAAAATTAAAAAGGTTAATTATGAGTCAACTCTAAATTCAGAGGCCTCTTGGTAGTTGAGATTCAACAAGTTTATTGCTTGCATGTTAACCAATATTAACGAGGCTATGGGAATATGTTGCTACATAAAATCTTAAAGTTATAAGATTCAAATTCCCACAATATTGCTTACAAGTTTAGACCATATAGCCCCAGTGAAGTGCACAAGTTTTTCATAAGACCAACCATGAGACAGAAGCAAATACTCTCTATTGATAAATCTCTGAACACAAGTTAATTAGAGGCAAAAATAAACATGGGTTCATTTACTACCTCAAGTTTTTTTTAATTTTTGTTACAGGCCCCTGTTTTCATACAACCGTCAATGACAATACCTAGAATTCTAGGAATCGTGCAACATGAAATCTTAAACAATAGAAGATATGACTTAACTAAGGTGATATTGGAACTATTTTCTTGCCTGATTTTTGTGTACATGGAAATATTGGTACTATTTTTGGTGTTCTCACAATTATAAGCTTATTCATTGGTGGATGTATGTTTTCATAACAAAAGATCATTACATGTACATGATGCAATATGTCTGTTAAACTGTAGGATATTACCAGGGGATGTAATTCAAATGTAGTGAATATGGTTTCCGATGGGTAGCATGATTAAGAAAAGAAAATATAGTGTTAATTTTCACATAACGTTATATTTATATGTATGTGTGTGTACACTATACGCACACATACATATAAATATATGTACACATATGCATATATGCGTGCATGTCGAATATATACAGACAAATATATACATGTATTTATTTTCATGCACATCAATATAAATTAATATATAAACATCATTACATATTTGTGCGCGCGCGTTTGTGTTGTAGGTTGCAAGTTTGTAAACTTGCAAGTTACGGGAAGTAAAAATAATCAATTTTTAGCAGTTTTCTTCTATTTTTGTACGCGTTTGTCAAAATAAAAAAGGTCAATTATGAGTCAACTCTAAATTCATAGGCCTCTTTGTAGTTGAGATTCAACGAGTTTATTGCTTGCATGTTAACCAATATTAACAAGGCTATGGGAATATGCTGCTTACATAAAATCTTAAAGTTATAAGATTCGTTTGCCCACAATATTGCTTACAAGTTGAGACCATGTGGCCTCAGTGACATGCTCAAGTTTTTTCATAAGACTAACCACGAGACAGAAGCAAATACTCTCTATTATTAAATCTCTGAACGCAAGTTAATTGGAGGCAAAAATAAACATGGGTTCCTTTACTACCTCATGTATATTTATTTTATTTACTTTTTTACAGGCCCCTATTTTCTAACAACCGTCCATGACAATACCTGGAATTCCAGGAATCGTGCAACATGAAATCTTAAACAATAGAAGACAGGACTTGACTAAGGTGATATGATGCCTGTTTTTGTGTACATGGAAATATTGGTACTATTTTTGGTGTTCTCACAATTATAAGCATATTCGTTGGTGGATGTATGTTTCCATAGCAAAAAATCATTACGTGTACAGGATGTAGCAGGTTCTGTTAAACTGTGGGATATTACCGGGGGATGTAATTCAAATATAGGGAATATGGTTTTTGATGGATAACATGATTGGAAAAAGTAAATACAGTGTTAATTTTCACATGAAAACATTATATTTATATGTATGTGTGTGTACACTTTATGCACACATACATATAAATTTATATACACATATATATATGTGTGCGTGCAGAATATATACAGACAAATATATACATGTATATATTTTCTTGCACATCAACATAAATGAATATTTATACATCATTACATTTTTGTGCTCGAGCGGGTTTGTGTTATAGGTTGTAAGTAGTCAGCTTGCAAGATACGGGAAGTAAAAATAATGAAATTTTAGCAGATTTCTTCTAATTTTGCGCACGTTTATGTTGCAGGTTACGAGGAGTCAACTTGCAAGTTACGGGAAATAAAATAATGAATTTTTAGCAGATTTCTTATATTTTTCTGCAAGTTGTTGGTAGATAACCTTCACTATCTCGTCAAAATAAAAAGGTCAACTATGAGTCAACTCTAAAGTCAGAGGCCTCTTGGTAGTTGAGATTCAACGAGTTTATTGCTTTCCTATTAACCAATATTAACGAGGCTATGGGAATATGTTGCTTACTTAAAATCTTAAAGTTATAAGATTCATATGCCCACAATATTGCTTACAAGTTGAGACCATATAGCCATAGTGAAGTGCTCAAGTTTTTTCATAAGATCAACCATGAGACAGAAGGAAATACCCTCTATTGATAAATCTTTGAACGCAAGTTAATTGGAGGCAAAAATAAACAAGGTTTCCTTTACTACCCCATGTTTATTTATTTATTTATTTATTTTTGTTACAAGCCCCTGTTTTCAAACAATCGTCCATGATAATACCTGAAATTCCAGGAATCGTGCAACATGAAATGTTAAACAATAGAAGACATGACGTGACTAAGTTGATATGATGCCTGTTTTTGTGTACATGGAAATATTTGTACTATTTTTGGTGTTCTCACAATTATAATCATATTCATTGGTGGATGTATGTTTCCATAACAAAAAATCAATACGTGTACAGGATGCAGCAGGTTCTGTTAAACTGTGGGATATTACCAGGGGATGTCATTCAAATATAGGGAATATAGTTTTCGATTAGTAGCATGATTGGAAAAAGAAAATATAGTGTTAATTTTCACATGACAGTATTATATTTATATGTATGTGTGTGTACACTATACGCACACATACATATAAATATATGTACACAGATGCATATATGGGTGCGTGTCAAATATATACAGACAAATATTTACAGGTATCTATTTTCTTGCACATCAACATAAATGAATATATATACATCATTACATTTTTGGGCGAGCACACGTTTGTGTTGTAGGTTGCAAGGAGTCAGCTTGCAAGTTACGGGGACGTAAAAATAATGAATTTTTAGCTGATTTCTTCTATTTTTGTGCGCGTTTGTGTTGCAGGTTGCAAGGAGTCAATTTGCAAGTTACGGGAAGTATAAATAATGAATTTTTAGCAAATTTCTTAAATATATTTCCAAGTTGTTGGTGGATGACCATCATTATCTCGTGTCAAAATAAAAAAGGTCAACTATGAGTCAACTCTAAATTCAGGGGCCTCTTGGTATTAGAGATTTAACGAGTATATTGCTTACATGTTAACCAATATTAACGAGGCTATGAGAATATGCTGCTTACATAAAATCTTAAAGTTATAACATTCATATGACCACAATATTGCTTATAAGTTTAGACCATATAGCCTCAATGAAGTGCTCTAGTTTTTTCATAAGACCAACCATGAGACAGAAGGAAATACTCTCTATAGATAAATCTGTGAACACAAGTTAATTAGAAGCAAAAATAAACAAGGGTCCCTTTACTACCTCGGGTTTATTTTTTTTAATTTTGTTACAGGCCCCTCTTTTCAAACAACCGTCCATGACAATACCTGGAATTCCAGGAATCGTGCAACATGAAATCTTAAACAATCGAAGACAAGACTTGACTAAGGTGATATTGGTACTATTTTTATGCTTGATTTTTGTGTACAAGAAAATATTGGTACTATATTTGGTGTTGTCACAATTATGAGCTTATTCATTGGTGGATGTATGTTTCCATAAAAAAAGATCATTACGTGTACAGGATGCAACAGGTTCTGTTAAACTGTGGGATATTACCAGGGGATGTAATTCAAATATAGTGAATATGGTTTTCGAAGGGTAGCATGATTGGAAAAAAATATAGTGTTAATTTTCACATAACATTATATTTATATGTATGTTTGTGTACACTATACATACACATACATATAAATATATGTACACATGCATATATGCGTCCGTGTTGAATATATACAAACAAATATATACATGTATTTATTTTCATGCACATCAATATAAATGAATATATATACATCATTGCATATTTGTGTGCGTGCGTTTATTTTGTAGGTTGCAAGGTGTCAACTTGCAAGTTACGAGAAGTAAAAATAATGAATTTTTAGCAGTTTCTTCTATTTTTGCACGCGTCTGTAAAAATGAAAAAGTTCAATTATGAGTCAACTCTAAATTTAGAGGCCTCTTGGTAGTTGAGATTCAATGGGTTTATTGCTTGCATGTTAACCAATATTAACGAGGCTATGGGAATATGCTGCTTGCATAAAATCTTAAAGTTATAAGATTCATATGCCCACAATATTACTTACAAGTTGAGACCCCTATAGCCTCAGTGAAGTGCTCAAGTTTTTTCATAAGACCACCCATGAGACAAAAGCAAATACTCTCTATTGATAAATCTCTGAACGCAAGTTAATTGAGGCAAAAATAAATATGGGTTCCTTCACTACCTCAGGTTTATTTTTTTTATTTTTGTTACAGGCCCCTGTTTTCAAACAATCGTCTATGACAATACCTGGAATTCCAGGAATCGTGCAACGTGAAATCTTAAACGATAGAAGACAGGACTTGACTAAGGTGATATGATGCCTGTTTTTGTGTACATGGAAATATTGGAACTATTTTTTGTGTTCTCACAATTATAAGCATATTCATTGGTGGATGTATGTTTCCATAACAAATAATCATTACGTGCACAGGTTGCAGCAGTTTCTGTTAAACTGTGGGATATTAGTGGATGTTATTCAAATATAGGGAATATGGTTTTCTATGGGTAGCATGATTGGAAAAAGAAAATGCAGTATTAATTTTCACATGACAGCATTATATTTATATGTATGTGTGTGTATACTTTACGCACACATACATATAAATTTATGTTCACATGCATATCTGCGTGCGTGTCAAATATATACAGACAAATATATACAAGTATATATTTTCTTGCACATCAACATAAATGAATATATATATACATCATTACATTTTTGTGCGCGCACGCGTTTGTGTTATAGCTTGCAAGGAGTCTGCTTACAAGTTACGTGAAGTAAAAAATAATGAAATTTTAGCAGATTTCTTCTATTTTCTGCAAGTTGTTGGTAGATGACCATCACTATCTTGTGTCAAAATAAACAAGGTCAACTTCGAGTCAACTCTAAATTCAGAGGCCTCTTGGTAGTTAAGAATCAACGAGTTTATTGCTTGCATGTTAACCAATATTAACGACGCTATGGGAATATGTTGCTTACATAAACTCTTAAAGTTTATAGATTCATATGCTCACAATATTGCTTACAAGTTGAGACCATATAGCCTCAGTGAACTGCTCAAGTTTTTTTATACAAGATCAACAATGAGACGGTAGCAAATACTCTCTATTGATAAATTTTCGAACGCAGGTTAATTGGAGGCAAAAATAAACATGGGTTCCTTTACTTCCTCAAGTTTATTTATTTATTTTTTTTATTTTTTTACAGGCCCCTGTTTTCATATAATCCATATAATCGTCTATGACAATACTTGGAATTCCAAGAATCGTGCAACATGAAATCTTAAACAATAGAAGATAGAACTTGACTAAGGTGATATGTTGCCTGTTTTTGTGTACATGGAAATATTGGTACTATTTTTGGTGTTCTCACAATTATAAGCATATTCATTGGTGGATGTATGTTTCCATAACAAAAAATCATTACGTGTTCATGATGTAGCAGGTTTAGTTAAACTATGGGATATTGCCAAGGGATATCACTCAAATACAGGGAATATGGTTTTCGATAGGTAGCTTGATTGGAAAAAGAAAAATATAGTGTTAATTTTCACATGAAAACATTATATTTATATTATATGTATGTGTGTGTACACTGTATACACATACATATAAATATATGTACACTTGCATGTATGCGTGCATGTCGAATATCATTGTTTTAAATATCGGCCGATAATCCGATATTATCGCCGAGTTATCGGATTTGGGAGCTTTCCGCTAGGATAAGTAGGATTTTTAATCGATTTATCGGTTTTTGAGGTTTATCGGTGAGTAATCGGCGATAAAGGCACTTATCGGCCGATAAGTAAGCTCTAAATATCGGCTTTATCGGCCGATAAGTAGGATTTGGGAGCTTTTACTTTCTTTTAAATTTGCTCTTTGAGTGTTTACAAATTATGAGCTATTTGTTGCTTTTTGAACTTGGTTGATTGGTGATTAGCTAATGTTTGTTTATGGATATCGATAATGGCTCATAACTATTAAATATCAACTTAGTAAGTTAGTTTATGAATCTCATGATTAAACAATAATTATGTAGATGCGTAGATGGTTCTTCATTCTTGATATTATCTTATTATTTGCTTGTTTATTATTCCATTTTGACTAACATTATATTTTTTTAAGCTTATGTTTGTTTATTATTTGCTAGTATATTACTCCGATAAACACTACTTATCCCCGATATATCCTCGATTTCCGCTATCCGATAATGATTTTGACCGTCCGATAAATCCCCGAAAACCGACATTTAAAACATTGTCGAATATATACAGACAAATATATACATGTACCTATTTTCTTGCACATCAACATAAATGAATATATATACATCATTACTTTTTTGTGCGTGCACGCGTTTGTGTTGTAGGTTGCAAGGAGTCAGATCACAAGTTACGGGAAGTAAAAATAATGAATTTTTAGCCAATTTCTTCTATTTTTGCGCCCGTTTGTGTTGCAGGTTGTGAGAAGTTTACTTGAAAGTTACGGGAAGTAAAAATAATAAATTTTTAGCAGATTTCTTCTATTTTTCTGCATGTTGTTGGTGGATAACCATCACTATCTTGTGTCAAAATATAAAAGGTCAACTATGAGTCAACTCTAAATTCATAAGACTTTTGGTAGTTGAGATTCAACGAGTTTATTGCTTGCATGTTAACCAATATTAACGAGGCTATGGGAATATGCTGCATACATAAAATCTTAAAGTTATAAGATTCATATGCCCACAATATTGCTTACATGTTGAGACCATATAGCCTCAGTGAAGTGCTCAAGTTTTTTCATAAGACTAACCATTTGACAGAAGGAAATACTCTCTATTGGTAAATCTCTGAACGTAAGTTAATTGGAGTAAAAAATTAACAAGTGTTCCTTTACTACCTTAGGTTTATTTTTTTTTTAAATTTTGTTACAGGCCCTTGTTTTCAAGCAACCGTTCATCGCAATACCTGGAATTCCAGGAATCGTGCAACATGAAATCTTAAACAATAGAAGGCAGGACTTGACTAAGGTGATATTGGTACTATTTTCATGCCTGATTTTTGTGTACATGGAAATATTGGTACTATTTTTGGTGTTCTCACAATTATAAGCATATTCATTGGTGGATGTTTGTTTCCATAACAAAAGATCATTATGTGTACAGGATGCAGCAGGTTCTGTTAAACTGTGGGATATTACCATAGGATCTAATTCAAATATAGTGAATATGGTCTTTGATTGGTAGCATGATTGGAAAAAGAAAATATAGTGTTAATTTTCACATGAAAACATTATACTTATATGTATGTGTGTGTATAGTGTACACACACATACATATAAATATATGTCCACATGCATATATGCGTGCGTGTCGAATATATACAGACAAATATATACACGTATCTATTTTCTTGCACATCAACATAAATGAATATATATATATATATATATATATATAGAGAGAGAGAGAGAGAGAGAGGAATATGGGTATGCTTGGTACCAAGTACAAATTTTGTGCTTGGTAGTGAGGTGGCACAATCTCCTCCACTCATTCAAATGGGGGACCACATTCACATGAGTTGAGGAATACATAGGGATATACAATCATTTGAATGAGTGGAGGGGATTATGCCACCTCACTATCAAGCATAACTTTTTGTGTTTGGTACCAAGCATACCCATTTTTCTCATATATATATATATATCATTACTTTTTTGTGCATGCATGCGTTTGTGTTGTAGGTTGCAAAGAGTCTACTTGCAAGTTACGAGAAGTAAAAATAATTAAATTTTAGCATATTTCTTCTTTTTTTGCGCGCGTTTGTGTTGCAGGTTGCAATGAGTCAACTTGCAAGTTACGGGAAGTAAAAATAATTTAGCAGATTTCTTCTATTTTTCTGCAAGTTCTTGGTGGATGACCATCATTATCTCGTGTCAAAATTAAAAAGGTCAACATGAGTCAACTCTAAATTCAGAGGCCTCTTGGTAGTTGAGATTCAACGAGTTTATTGCTTGAATGTTAACCAATATTGACGAGGCTATGGGAATATGCTGCTTACATAAAATCTTAAAGTTATAAGATTCATATGTCCACAATATTGCTTACAAGTTGAGACAATATAGCCTCAGTGAAGTGCTCAAGTTTTTTCATAAGACCAACCGTGAGACAGAAGCAAATACTCTCTATGGATAAATCTCTGAACAAAAGTTAATTGGAGGCAAAAATAAACATGGGATCCTTTACTATCTCAGGTTTATTTATTTTTTTATATTTTTGTTACAGGCTACTATTTTCAAACAACCGTCCATGAAAGTACCTGGAATTCCAGGAATCGTACAACATGAAATCTTAAATAATAGAAGACAGGACTTGACTAAGGTGATATTGGTACTATCTTCATGCTTGATTTTAGTGTGCATGGAAATATTGGTACTATTTTTGGTGTTCTCACAATTTTAAGCATATTCATTGGTGGATGTATGTTTCCATAACAAAAGATTATTACGTGTACAGAATGCAGAAGGTTTTGTTAAACTGTGGGATATTACCAGGGGATGTAATTCAAATATAGTGAATATGGTTTTCGATCGGTAGCATGACTGGAAAAAGAAACTATAGTGTTAATTTTCACATGACAACATTATATTTATATGTATGTGTGTGTACACTATACGCACACATACATATACATATATGTACACATATGCATATATTCGTGCGTGTTGAATATATACAGAAAAATATATACATGTATTTATTTGCATGCGCATCAATATAAATAAATATATAGACATCATTAGATATTTGTGTGCGCGCGTTTGTGTTGTAGGTTGCAAGGAGTCAGCTTGCAAGTTACGAGAAGTAAAAATAATGAATTTTTAGCAGATTTCTTTTATTTTTGCGCGCTTGTCAAAATAAAAAAGGTCAACTATGAGTCAACTCTAAATTTAGAGGCCTCTTGATAGTGTTGATTCAACGAGTTTATTGCTTGCATGTTGACCAATATTAACGAGTCTATGGGAATATGCTTCTTACATAAAAGTTATAAGATTCATATGTCCATAATATTGCTTACAAGTTGAGGCCATATAGCCTCAGTGAAGTGCTCAAGTTTTTTCATAAGACCAACCATGAGACAGAATCAAATACTCTCTATTGATAAATCTTTGAACGTAAGTTAATTGGAGGCAAAAGTAAACATGGGTTCCTTTACTACCTCAGGTTTATTTATTTATTTTATATTTGTTACAGGCCCTTGTTTTCAAACAACCGTCCATGTCAATACCTGGAATTCCAGGAATCGTGCAACATGAAATCATAAACAATAGAAGACATGACTTGACTAAGGTGATATTGGTACTATTTTCATGCCTGGTTTTTGTGTACATGGAAATATTAGTACTATTTTTGGTGTTCTCACAATTATAAGCATATTCATTGGTGGATGTATGTTTCCATAACAAAAGATCATTACGTGTACATGATGCAGCAGGTTCTGTTAAACTGTGGGATATTACAATGGGATTTAATTCAAATATAGTGAATATGGTTTTCGATGGGTAGCATGATTGGAAAAAGAAAATATAGTGTTAATTTTCACATGACAACATTATAATTATATGTATGTGTGTGTACACTGTACGCACACATACATGTAAATATATGTACACATGCATATATGCGTTCGTGTCGAATATATACAGACAAATATATACATGTATCTATTTTCATGCACATCAGTATAAATGAATATATATACATCATTACATTTTTGTGCGCGCATGCGTTTGTGTTGTAGGTTGCACATCAGTATAAATGAATATATATACATCATTACATTTTTGTGCGCGCATGCGTTTGTGTTGTAGGTTAAAAGGAGTCAACTTGCAAGTTACGTGAAGTAAAAACAATAATTTTTTAGCAGATTTCTTCTTTTTTTGCGCGCGTTTGTGCTGCAGGTTGCAAGGAGTCATCTTGCAAGTTACAGGAAGTAAAAATAATGAAATGTTAGCATAAAAAAGGTCTACTATGAGTCAACTATAAATTCAGAGGCCTCTTGGTAGTTGAGATTCAACGAGTTTATTGTTTTCATGTTAACCAATATTAACGAGGCTATGAAAATATGCTGCTTACATAAAATCTTAAAGTTATAAGATTCATATGCCCACAATATTGCTTAGAAGTTGAGATTATATAGCCTTAGTGAAGTGCTCAAGCTTTTTCATAAGACCAACCAAGGTTCCTTTACTACCCCAGGTTTATTCATTTTTTCTTTATTTTTTTACAGGCCCCTGTTTTTAAACGACCGTCCATGACAATACTTGGAATTCTAGGAATCGTGCAACATGAAATCTTAAACAATAGAAGACAAGACTTGACTAAGGTTATATGATGCATGATTTTTGTGTACATGGAAATATTGTTACTATTTTTTGTGTTCTCACAATTATAAGCATATTCATTGGTGGATGTATGTTTCCATAATAAAAGTTCATTACATGTACATGATGCAAAAGGTTTTGTTAAACTGTGGGATATTACCAGGGGATATAATTCAAATATAGGGAATATGGTTTTCGATGGGTAGCATGATTAGAAAAAGAAAATACAATGTTAATTTTCACATGATAATATTATATTTATATGTATGTGTGTGTACACTGTACGAACACATACATATAAATATATGTACACATTAGCATATATGCGTGCGTGTCGAATATATACAGACAAATATATACAGGTATCTATTTTCATGCACATCAAAATAAATGAATATATATACATCATTACATTTTCGTGTGCATTCGCGTTTGTGTCGTAGGTTGCAAGGGGTCAGCTTGCAAGTTACGAGAAGTAAAAATAATAAATTTTTAGCAGATTTCGTCTATTTTTGCGCGCGTTTGTGTTGTAGGTTGAAAGGAGTCTGCTTGCAAGTTATGGAAAGTAAAAATAGTGAATTGTTAGCATATTTCTTCTATTTTTCTATAAGTTGTTGGTGGATGACCTTCATTATCTCGGGTCAAAATAAAAAAGGTCAACTATGAGTCAACTCTAAATTCGGAGGCCCCTTGGTAGTTGAGATTCAATGAGTTTATTGCTTTCCTGTTAACCAATAATAATGAGGCTTTGGGAATTTGTTGCTTACTTAAAATCTTAAAGTTATAAGATTCATACGCCCACAATATTGCTTACAAGTTGAGACCATATAGCCACAGTGAAGTGCTCAAGTTTTTTCATAAGATCAACCATGAGATAGAAGGTAATACCCTCTATTGATAAATCTCTGAACGCAAGTTAATAGGATGCAAAAATAAACAAGGTTTCCTTTACTACCCCAGGTTTATTTATTTTTTCTTTATTTTTGTTACAGGCCCCTGTTTTCAAACAATCATCCATGACAATACCTGGAATTCCAGGAATCGTACGACATGAGATCCTAAAATATAGAAGACAAGACTTGACTAAGGTGATATGATGCCTGATTTTTGTGTACATGGAAATATTAGTACTATTTTTGGTGTTCTCACAATTTTAAGCATATTCATTGGTAGATGTATGTTTCCATAACAAAAGATCATTATGTGTATAGGATGCAGCAGGTTCTGTTAAACTGTAGGATATTACTAGGTGATGTAAGTGAAATATAGGTAATATGGTTTTTTATGGGTAGCATGATTGGAAAAACAATACAATGTAAATTTTCATATGACAGCATTATGTTTATATTTATGTATGTGTACACTGTACGCACACATACATATAAATATATGTACACATATGCATATATGCGTGCGTGTCGGATATATACAGACAAATATATACATGTATCTATTTTCTTACACATCATAAATGAATATATATACATCACTACATTTTTGTGCGCGCACGCGTTTATGTTGTAGGTTGCAAGGAGTCATCTTGCAAGTTACAGGAAGTAAAAATAATAAATTTTTAGCAGATTTCTTCTATTTAGCGCGAGTTTGTGTTGCAGGTTGCAAGGAGTCAGCTTGCAAGTTACAGGAAGTAAAAATAATGAATTTTTAGTAGATTTTTTCTATTTTCTGCAAGTTGTTGGTGGATGACCATCATTATCTCGTGTCAAAATTAAAACGGTCAACTATGAGTCAACCCTAAATTTAGAGGCCTCTTGGTAGTTGAGATTCGACGAGTTTATTGTTTGCATGTTAACCAATATTAACGAGGCTATGGGAATATGCAACTTACATAAAATATTAAAGTTATAAGATTCATATGCCACAATATTGCTTACAAGTTGAGACCATATAGCCTCAGTGAAGTGCGCAAGTTTTTTCACAAGACCAACAATGAGACAGAAGGAAATACTCTCTTTTGAAATTTTTTCGAACGCAAGTTAATTGGAGGCAAAAATAAACATGGGTTCCTTTACTTCCTCAGGTTTATTTATTTATTATTTATTTTTTTTACAGGCCCCTATTTTCATATAATCATCTATGACAATACTTGGAATTCCAAGAATCGTGCAACATGAAATCTTAAACAATAGAAGATAGAACTTGACTAAGGTGATATGTTGCCTGTTTTTGTGTACATGGAAATATTGGTACTATTTTTGGTGTTCTCACAATTATAAGCATATTCATTGGTGGATGTATGTTTCCATAACAAAAAATCATTACGTGTTCATGATGTAGCAGGTTCAGTTAAACTGTGGGATATTACCAGGGGATATCACTCAAATATAGGGAATATGGTTTTCGATAGGTAGCTTGATTGGAAAAAGAAAAATATAGTGTTAATTTTCACATAAAAACATTATATTTATATGTATGTGCGTGTACACTGTATGCACACATACATATAAATATATGTACACTTGCATGTATGCGTGTGTGTCGAATATATACAGACAAATATATACATGTACCTATTTTCTTGCACATCAACATAAATGAATATATATACATCATTACTTTTTTGTGCGTGCACGCGTTTGTGTTGTAGGTTGCAAGAAGTTACGGGAAGTAAAAATAATGAATTTTTAGCCAGTTCTTCTATTTTTGCGCCCGTTTGTGTTGCTGGTTGCAAGAAGTCAACTTGCAAGTTACGGGAAGTAAAAATAATAAATTTTTAGCAGATTTCTTCTATTTTTTTGCATGTTGTTGGTGGATAACCATCACTATCTTGTGTCAAAATATAAAAGGTCAACTATGAGTCAACTCTAAATTCATAAGCCTTTTGGTAGTTGAGATTCAACGAGTTTATTGCTTGCATGTTAACCAATATTAACGAGGCTATGGGAATATGCTGCATACATAAAATCTTAAAGTTATAAGATTCATATGCCCACAATATTGCTTACATGTTAAGACCATATGGCCTCAGTGAAGTGCTCAAGTTTTTTCATAAGACCAACCATTTGACAGAAGGAAATACTCTCTATTGATAAATCTCTGAACGTAAGTTAATTGGAGTAAAAATTAAACAAGTGTTCCTTTACTACCTTAGGTTATTTTTTTTTCAAAATTTTGTTACAGGCCCTTGTTTTCAAGCAACCGTCCATGGCAATACCTGGAATTCCAGGAATCGTGCAACATGAAATCTTAAACAATAGAAGGCAGGACTTGACTAAGGTGATATTGGTATTATTTTCATGCCTGATTTTTGTGTACATGGAAATATTGGTACTATTTTTGGTGTTCTCACAATTATAAGCATATTCATTGGGGGATGTTTGTTTCCATAACAAAAGATCATTATGTGTACAGGATGCAACAGGTTCTGTTAAACTATGGGATATTACCACGGGATCTAATTAAAATATAGTGAATATGGCCTTTGATGGGTAGCATGATTCTATTTTTCTGCAAGTTCTTGGTGGATGACCATCATTATCTCGTGTCAAAATTAAAAAGGTCAACATGAGTCAACTCTAAATTCAGAGGCCTCTTGGTAGTTGAGATTCAACAAGTTTATTGCTTGCATGTTAACCAATATTAACGGGGCTATGGGAATATGCTACTTACATAAAATCTTAAAGTTATAAGATTCATATGTCCACAATATTGCTTACAAGTTGAGACAATATAGCCTCAGTGAAGTGCTCAAGTTTTTTCATAAGACCAACCGTGAGACAGAAGCAAATACTCTCTATGGATAAATCTCTGAACAAAAGTTAATTGGAGGCAAAAATAAACATGGGTTCCTTTACTATCTTAGGTTTATTTATTTTTTATATTTTTGTTACAGGCTACTATTTTCAAACAACCGTCCTTGAAAGTACCTGGAATTCCAGGAATCGTACAACATGAAATCTTAAATAATAGAAGACAAGACTTGACTAAGGTGATATTTGTACTATTTTCATGCCTGATTTTAGTGTGCATGGAAATATTGGTACTATTTTTGGTGTTCTCACAATTATAAGCATATTCATTGGTGGATGTATGTTTTCATAACAAAAGATTATTACGTGTACAGGATGCAGAAGGTTTTGTTAAACTGTGGGATATTACCAGTGGATGTAATTCAAATATAGTGAATATGGTTTTCGATGGGTAGCATGATTGGAAAAAGAAAATATAGTGTTAATTTTCACATGACAACATTATATTTATATGTATGTGTTTGTACACTATACGCACACATACATATAAATATATGTACACATATGCACATATTCGTGTGTGTTGAATATATACAGAAAAATATATACATGTATTTATTTTCATGCGCATCAGTATAAATGAATATATAGACATCATTAGATATTTGTGTGTGCGCGTTTGTGTTGTAGGTTGCAAGGAGTCAGCTTGCAAGTTACGAGAAGTAAAAATAATGAACTTTTAGCAGATTTCTTTTATTTTTGCGCGCTTGTCAAAATAAAAAAGGTCAACTATGAGTCAACTCTAAATTCAGAGGCCTCTTGGTAGTGTATATTCAACGAGTTTATTGCTTGCATGTTGACCAATATTAACGAGTCTATGGGAATATGCTGCTTACATAAAATCTTAAAGTTATAAGATTCATATGTCCACAATATTGCTTACAAGTTGAGGCCATATAGCCTCAGTGAAGTGCTCAAGTTTTTTCATAAGACCAACCATGAGACATAATCAAATACTCTCTATTGATAAATCTTTGAACATAAGTTAATTGGAGGCAAAAGTAAACATGGGTTCCTTTACTACCTCAGGTTTATTTATTTATTTTATATTTGTTACAGGCCCTTGTTTTCAAACAACCGTCCATGACAATACCTGGAATTCCAGGAATCGTGCAACATGAAATCATAAACAATAGAAGACATGACTTGACTAAGGTGATATTGGTACTATTTTCATGCTTGGTTTTTGTGTACATGGAAATATTAGTACTATTTTTGGTGTTCTCACAATTATAAGCATATTCATTAGTGGATGTATGTTTCCATAACAAAAGATCATTACGTGTACATGATGCAGCAGGTTCTGTTAAACTGTGGGGTGGATGTATGTTTCCATAACAAAAGATCATTACGTGTACATGATGCAGCAGGTTCTGTTAAACTGTGGGATATTACAATGGGATTTAATTCAAATATAAGGTTCTGTTAAACTGTGGGATATTACAATGGGATTTAATTCAAATATAGTGAATATGGTTTTCGATGGATAGCATGATTGGAAAAAGAAAATATAGTGTTAATTTTCACATGACAACATTATATTTATATGTATGTGTGTGTACACTGTACGCACACATACATGTAAATATATGTACACATATGCATATATGCGTTCGTGTCGAATATATACAGACAAATATATACATGTATCTATTTTCATGCACATCAGTATAAATGAATATATATACATCATTACATTTTTGTGCGCGCATGCGTTTGTGTTGTAGGTTGCAAGGAGTCAACTTGCAACTTACGTGAAGTAAAAACAATAATTTTTTAGCAGATTTCTTTTTTTTTTGCGTGCGTTTGTGTTGCAGGTTGCAAGGAGTCATCTTGCAAGTTACAGGAAGTAAAAATAATGAAATGTTAGCATATTTCTTCTATTTTTCTGCAAGTTGTTGGTGGATGACCATCACTATCTTATGTCAAAATAAAAAAGGTCTACTATGAGTCAACTATAAATTCAGAGGCCTCTTAGTAGTTGAGATTCAACGAGTTTATTATTTTCATGTTAACCAATATTAACGAGGCTATGAAAATATGCTGCTTACATAAAATCTTAAAGTTATAAGATTTTCATGTTAACCAATATTAACGAGGCTATGAAAATATGCTGCTTACATAAAATCTTAAAGTTATAAGATTCATATGCCCACAATATTGCTAGAGGCTATGAAAATATGCTGCTTACATAAAATCTTAAAGTTATAAGATTCATATGCCCACAATATTGCTAAGAAGTTGAGACTATATCGCCTTAGTGAAGTACTCAAGCTTTTTCATAAGACCAACCAAGGTTCCTTTACTACCCCAGGTTTATTCATTTTTTCTTTATTTTTTTTACAGGCCCCTGTTTTTAAACGACCGTCCATGACAATACTTGGAATTCCAGGAATCGTGCAACATGAAATCTTAAACAATAGAAGACAAGACTTGACTAAGGTTATATGATGCCTGATTTTTGTGTACATGGAAATATTGTTACTATTTTTGGTGTTCTCACAATTATAAGCATATTCATTGGTGGATGTATGTTTCCATAATAAAAGTTCATTACATGTACATGATGCAAAAGGTTTTGTTAAACTGTGGGATATTACCAGGGGATATAATTCAAATATAGGGAATATGGTTTTCGATGGGTAGCATGATTAGAAAAAGAAAATACAATGTTAATTTTCACATGATAATATTATATTTATATGTATGTGTGTGTACACTGTACGAACATATACATATAAATGTATGTACACATTAGCATATATGCGTGCGTGTCGAATATATACAGACAAATATATACAGGTATCTATTTTCGTGCACATCAATATAAATGAATATATATACATCATTACATTTTTGTGTGCATTGGCATTTGTGTCGTAGGTTGCAAGGGGTCAGCTTGCAAGTTACGAGAAGTAAAAATAATAAATTTTTAGCAGATTTCGTCTATTTTTTGCGCGCGTTTGTGTTGTAGGTTGAAAGGAGTCTGCTTGCAAGTTACGGGAAGTAAAAATAGTGAATTGTTAGCAGATTTCTTCTATTTTTCTATAAGTTGTTGGTGGATGACCTTCATTATCTCGGGTCAAAATAAAAAGGTCAACTATGAGTCAACTCTAAATTCGGAGGCCCCTTGGTAGTTGAGATTCAACGAGTTTATTGCTTTCCTGTTAACCAATAATAACGTGGCTATGGGAATTTGTTGCTTACTTAAAATCTTAAAGTTATAAGATTCTTTCGCCCACAATATTGCTCACAAGTTGAGACCATATAGCCACAGTGAAGTGCTCAAGTTTTTTCATAAGATCAACCATGAGATAGAAGGTAATACCCTCTATTGATAAATCTCTGAACGCAAGTTAATTGGAGGCAAAAATAAACAAGGTTTCCTTTACTACCCCAGGTTTATTTATGTTTTCTTTATTTTTGTTACAGGCCCCTGTTTTCAAACAATCGTCCATGACAATACCTAGAATTCCAGGAATCGTACGACATGAGATCCTAAACAATAGAAGACAAGACTTGACTAAGGTGATATGATTCCTGATTTTTGTGTACATGGAAATATTAGTACTATTTTTGGTGTTCTCACAATTTTAAGCATATTCATTGGTAGATGTATGTTTCCATAACAAAAGATCATTATGTGTATATGATGCAGCAGGTTTTGTTAAACTGTAGGATATTACTAGGGGATGTAATTCAAATATAGGTAATATGGTTTTTTATGGGTAGCATGATTGGAAAAAGAAAATGCAGTGTTACCTTTCATATGACAGCATTATATTTATATGTATGTATGTGTACACTGTACGCACACATACATATAAATATATGTACACATATGCATATATGCGTGCGTGTCGGATATATACAGACAAATATATACATGTATCTATTTTCTTGCACATCATAAATGAATATATATACATCATTACATTTTTGTGCGCGCACGCGTTTATGTTGTAGGTTGCAAGGAGTCATCTTGCAAGTTACAGGAAGTAAAAATAATAAATTTTTAGCAGATTTCTTCTATTTAGCGCGCGTTTGTGTTGCAGGTTGCAAGGAGTCAGCTTGCAAGTTACAGGAAGTAAAAATAATGAATTTTTAGTAGATTTCTTCTATTTTCTGCAAGTTGTTGGTGGATGACCATCATTATCTCGTGTCAAAATTAAAACGGTCAACTATGAGTCAACCCTAAATTTAGAGGCCTCTTGGTAGTTGAGATTCGACGAGTTTATTGTTTGCATGTTAACCAATATTAACGAGGCTATGGGAATATGCAACTTACATAAACTATTAAAGTTATAAGATTCATATGCCACAATATTGCTTACAAGTTGAGACCATATAGCCTCAGTGAAGTGCGCAAGTTTTTTCACAAGACCAACAATGAGACAGAAGGAAATACTCTCTTTTGATAAATCTTCGAACGCAAGTTAATTGGAGGCAAAAATAAACATGGGTTCCTTTACTTCCTCAGGTTTATTTATTTATTTTTTTTATTTTTTTTACAGGCCCCTGTTTTCATATAATCATCTATGACAATACTTGGAATTCCAAGAATCGTGCAACATGAAATCTTAAACAATAGAAGATAGAACTTGACTACGGTGATATGTTGCCTGTTTTTGTGTACATGGAAATATTAGTACTATTTTTGGTGTTCTCACAATTATAAGCATATTCATTGGTGGATGTACGTTTCCATAGCAAAAAATCATTATGTGTTCATGATGTAGCAGGTTCAGTTAAACTGTGGGATATTACCAGGGGATATCACTCAAATATAGGGAATATGGTTTTCGATAGGTAGCTTGATTGGAAAAAGAAAAATATAGTGTTAATTTTCACATGAAAACATTATATTTATATGTATGTGCGTGTACACTGTATGCACACATACATATAAATATATGTACACTTGCATGTATGCGTGTGTTGTCGAATATATACAAACAAATATATACATGTACCTATTTTCTTGCACATCAACATAAATGAATATATATACATCATTACTTTTTTGTGCGTGCACGCGTTTGTGTTGTAGGTTGCAAGAAGTTACGGGAAGTAAAAATAATGAATTTTTAGCCAATTTCTTCTATTTTTGCGCCCGTTTGTGTTGCTGGTTGCAAGAAGTCAACTTGCAAGTTACGGGAAGTAAAAATAATAATTTTTTAGCAGATTTCTTCTATTTTTTTGCATGTTGTTGGTGGATAACCATCACTATCTTGTGTCAAAATATAAAAGGTCAACTATGAGTCAACTCTAAATTCATAAGCCTTTTGGTAGTTGAGATTCAACGAGTTTATTGCTTGCATGTTAACCAATATTAACGAGGCTATGGGAATATGCTGCATACATAAAATCTTAAAGTTATAAGATTCATATGCCCACAATATTGCTTACATGTTAAGACCATATGGCCTCAGTGAAGTGCTCAAGTTTTTTCATAAGACCAACCATTTGACAGAAGAAAATACTCTCTATTGATAAATCTCTGAACGTAAGTTAATTGGAGTAAAAAATAAACAAGTGTTCCTTTACTACCTTAGGTTATTTTTTTTTAAATTTTGTTACAGGCCCTTGTTTTCAAGCAACCGTCCATGGCAATACCTGGAATTCCAGGAATCGTGCAACATGAAATCTTAAACAATAGAAGGCAGGACTTGACTAAGGTGATATTGGTACTATTTTCATGCCTGATTTTTGTGTACATGGAAATATTGGTACTATTTTTGGTGTTCTCACAATTATAAGCATATTCATTGGTGGATGTTTGTTTCCATGAGAAAAGATCATTATGTGTACAGGATGCAGCAGGTTCTGTTAAACTGTGGGATATTACCACAGGATCTAATTCAAATATAGTGAATATGGTCTTTGATGGGTAGCATGATTGGAAAAAGAAAATATAGTGTTAATTTTCACATGAAAACATTATACTTATATGTATGTGTGTGTACAATGTACACACACATACATATAAATATATGTCCACATGCATATATGCGTGCGTGTCGAATATATACAGACAAATATATACACGTATCTATTTTCTTGCACATCAACATAAATGAATATATATATATCATTACTTTTTTGTGCATGCATGCGTTTGTGTTGTAGGTTGCAGGGAGTCTACTTGCAAGTTACGAGAAGTAAAAATAATGAAATGTTAGCATATTTCTTCTATTTTTGCGCGCGTTTGTGTTGTAGGTTGCAAGGAGTCAACTTGCAAGTTACAGGAAGTAAAAATAATTTATTAGATTTCTTCTATTTTTCTGCAAGTTCTTGGTGGATAACCATCATTATCTCGTGTCAAAATTAAAAAGGTCAACATGAGTCAACTCTAAATTCAAAGGCCTCTTGGTAGTTGAGATTCAACGAGTTTATTGCTGGAATTCCAGGAATCGTACAACATGAAATCTTAAATAATAGAAGACAGGACTTGACTAAGGTGATATTGGTACTATCTTCATGCTTGATTTTAGTGTGCATGGAAATATTGGTACTATTTTTGGTGTTCTCACAATTTTAAGCATATTCATTGGTGGATGTATGTTTCCATAACAAAAGATTATTACGTGTACAGAATGCAGAAGGTTTTGTTAAACTGTGGGATATTACCAGGGGATGTAATTCAAATATAGTGAATATGGTTTTCGATCGGTAGCATGACTGGAAAAAGAAACTATAGTGTTAATTTTCACATGACAACATTATATTTATATGTATGTGTGTGTACACTATACGCACACATACATATACATATATGTACACATATGCATATATTCGTGCGTGTTGAATATATACAGAAAAATATATACATGTATTTATTTGCATGCGCATCAATATAAATAAATATATAGACATCATTAGATATTTGTGTGCGCGCGTTTGTGTTGTAGGTTGCAAGGAGTCAGCTTGCAAGTTACGAGAAGTAAAAATAATGAACTTTTAGCAAATTTCTTTTATTTTTGCGCGCTTATCGAAATAAAAAAGGTCAACTATGAGTCAACTCTAAATTCAGAGGCCTCTTGGTAGTGTAGATTCAACGAGTTTGTTGCTTGCATGTTGAACAATATTAACGATTCTATGGGAATATGCTGCTTACATAAAATCTTAAAGTTATAAGATTCATATGTCCACAATATTGCTTACAAGTTGAGGCCATATAGCCTCAGTGAAGTGCTCAAGTTTTTTTATAAGACCAACCATGAGACAGAATCAAATACTCTCTATTGATAAATCTTTGAACGTAAGTTAATTGGAGGCAAAAGTAAACATTAGTTCCTTTACTACCTCAGATTTATTTATTTATTTTATATTTGTTACAGGCCCTTGTTTTCAAACAACCGTCCATGACAATACCTGGAATTCCAGGAATCGTGCAACATGAAATCATAAACAATAGAAGACATGACTTGACTAAGGTGATATTGGTACTATTTTCATGCCTGGTTTTTGTGTACATGGAAATATTAGTACTATTTTTGGTGTTCTCACAATTATAAGCATATTCATTGGTGGATGTATGTTTCCATAAGAAAAGATAATTACGTGTACATGATGCAGCAGGTTCTGTTAAACTGTGGGATATTACAATGGGATTTAATTCAAATATAGTGAATATGGTTTTCGATGGGTAGCTTGATTGGAAAAAGAAAATATAGTGTTAATTTTCACATGACAACATTATATTTATATGTATGTGTGTGTACACTGTATGCACATATACATGTAAATATATGTACACATATGCATATATGCGTTCGTGTCGAATATATACAGACAAATATATACATGTATCTATTTTCATGTACATCAGTATAAATGAATTTATATACATCATTACATTTTTGTGCGCGCATGCGTTTGTGTTGTAGGTTGCAAGGAGTCAACTTGCAATTTACGTGAAGTAAAAACAATAAATTTTTAGTAGATTTCTTCTATTTTTGCGCGCGTTTGTGTTGCAGGTTGCAAGGAGTCATATTGCAAGTTGCAGGAAGTAAAAATAATGAAATGTTAACGAGGCTATGGGAATATGCTGCATACATAAAATCATAAAGTTATAAGATTCATATGCCCACAATATTGCTTAGAAGTTGAGACTATATAGGCGTAGTGAAGTGCTCAAGCTTTTTCATAAGACCAACCAAGGTTCCTTTACTACCCCAGGTTTATTCATTTTTTCTTTATTTTTGTTACAGGCCCCTATTTTTAAACGACCGTCCATGACAATACTTGGAATTCCAGGAATCGTGCAACATGAAATCTTAAACAATAGAAGACAAGACTTGTCTAAGGTTATATGATGCCTGATTTTTGTGTACATGGAAATATTGTTACTATTTTTGGTGTTCTCACAATTATAAGCATATTCATTGGTGGATGTATGTTTCCATAATAAAAGTTCATTACATGTACATGATGCAAAAGGTTTTGTTAAACTGTGGGATATTACCAGGGGATATAATTCAAATATAGGGAATATGGTTTTCGATGGGTAGCATGATTAGAAAAAGAAAATACAATGTTAATTTTCACATGATAATATTTTATTTATATGTATGTGTGTGTACACTGTACGAACACATACATATAAATATATGTACACTTTAGCATATATGCGTGCATGTCGAATATATACAGACAAATATATAAAGGTATCTATTTTCATGCACATCAATATAAATGAATATATATACATCATTACATTTTTGTGTGCATTCGCGTTTGTGTCATAGGTTGCAAGGAGTCAGCTTGCAAGTTACGAGAAGTAAAATTAATAAATTTTTAGCAGATTTCGTCTATTTTTGCGTGCATTTGTGTTGTAGGTTGAAAGGAGTCCGCTTGCAAGTTACGGGAAGTAAAAATAGTGAATTGTTAGCAGATTTCTTCTATTTTTCTATAAGTTGTTGGTGGATGACCTTCATTATCTCGGGTCAAAATAAAAAAGGTCAACTATGAGTCAACTCTAAATTCGGAGGCCCTTGGTAGTTGAGATTCAATGAGTTTATTGCTTTCCTGTTAACCAATAATAACGAGGCTATGGGAATTTGTTGCTTACTTAAAATCTTAAAGTTATAAGATTCATATGCCCACAATATTGCTTACAAGTTGAGAGCATATAGCCACAGTGAAGTGCTCAAGTTTTTTCATAAGATCAACCATGAGATAGAAGGTAATACCCTCTATTGATAAATCTTTGAACGCAAGTTAATTGGAGGCAAAAATAAACAAGGTTTACTTTACTACCCCAGGTTTATTTATGTTTTCTTTATTTTTGTTACAGGCCCCTGTTTTCAAACAGTCATCCATGACAATACCTGGAATTCCAGGAATCGTACGACATGAGATCCTAAACAATAGACGACAAGACTTGACTAAGGTGATATGATGCCTGATTTTTGTGTACATGGAAATATTAGTACTATTTTTGGTGTTCTCACAATTTTAAGCATATTCATTGGTAGATGTATGTTTCCATAACAAAAGATCATTATGTGTATAGGATGCAGCAGGTTCTGTTAAGCTGTGGGATATTACTAGGGGATGTAATTCAAATATAGGTAATATGGTTTTTTATGGGTAGCATGATTGGAAAAAGAAAATACAGTGTTAATTTTCATATGACCGCATTATATTTATATGTATGTATGTGTACACTGTACGCACACATACATATAAATATATGTACACATATGCTTATATGCGTGCGTGTCGGATATATACAGACAAATATATACAGGTATCTATTTTCTTGCACATCATAAATGAATATATATACATCATTACATTTTTGTGCGCGCACGCGTTTATGTTGTAGGTTACAAGGAGTCATCTTGCAAGTTACAGGAAGTAAAAATAATGAATTTTTAGCAGATTTCTTCTATTTTGCGCGCGTTTGTGTTGCAGGTTGCAAGGAGTCAGCTTGCAAGTTACAGGAAGTAAAAATAATGAATTTTTAGTAGATTTCTTCTATTTTCTGCAAGTTGTTGGTGGATGACCATCATTATCTCGTGTCAAAATTAAAACGGTCAACTATGAGTCAACCCTAAATTTAGAGGCCTCTTGGTAGTTGAGATTCGACGAGTTTATTGTTTTCATGTTAACCAATATTAATGAGGCTATGGGAATATGCAACTTACATAAAATATTAAAGTTATAAGATTCATATGCCACAATATTGCTTACAAGTTGAGACCATATAGCCTCAGTGAAGTGCTCAAGTTTTTTCATGAGACCAACCATGAGACAGAAGGAAATACTCTCTTTTGATAAATCTCTGAATGCAATTTAATTGGAGGCAAAAATAAACAAGGTTTCCTTTACTACCCCAGGTTTATTTATTTTTTTCTTTATTTTTATTACAGTCCCCTGTTTTCAAACAACCGTCCATGATATTACCTGGAATTCCTAGAATCATGCCACATGAAATCTTAAACAATAGAGGACATGACTTGACTAAGGTGATATGATGCATGATTTTTCTGTACATGGAAATATTGGTACTATTTTTGGTGTTCTCACAATTATAAGCATATATTCATTGGTGGATGTATGTTTGTATAACAAAAGATCATTACGTGTACAGGATGCAGTAGGTTCTGTTAAACTGTTGGATATTACCATGGGATGTAATTCAAATATAGGGAATATGGTTTTCGATGGGTAGCATGATTGGAAAAAGAAAATACAGTGTTAATTTTCACATAATAACATTATATTTATATGTATGCGTGTGTACACTGTATGCACACATACATAAATATATGTACATATATGCATATATACGTGCGTGTCGAATATATACAGATAAATATATACTGTAGGCGTTGAAAATTGCCTATAGGTCTCCACGAACAGCTCAAAGCTAAGAGAAGACGATGGACGTTGTTCGCGTGGAAAACTGTCATCTTTTTCATTGATATGATTGTCATCTTGGGTTACAAAGATCCGGTCTTTTATAGATCCGGTTACAACTAAATCAAAGAAAAAAATAAAAAATTACAACTTTCCTCTTTCGAACGAATCGCAAGCTCCTGTTTTGCGGTTGCTTGCTTGTGTGGGTTCTTTGCCGACGCCGGGGTTAATCCGTGGACCACCGCGCGATCTAGATCCGGTCGGATCTACACGAGTATGCGGGTATTATTCCACGAAGGGAATAATAGCCGGGAGGGATTAATCCACCAAGGGAATAATCGCTCAGATCTCGAGATCTAAGACTAAGCTTAGATCTGGAGTGTAGTCTCGTGTAGATCTCAGATCTGTTCTTTCTTCCTCTCGAGATCCTGCCTTTTCTGACGTGGATGGTCGCCGAGGATCAGATCTGAATGTGCAAGTCTTCTGGTCTTCAAGCTCCGAGTTCACTCTTCAATCCGGCAGAGTTTCGGCTCTTGAAAGTTCGACCTCTGAAAATGAACATCTCTAGGCCTATTTATAGGCTCTCAGGACAGTGGCTGCAAAAAGGGAATTGTCGGCCCCCTCTGGCCACTGTCGGCCACCTCGGGCCACTGTCGGCCACCTCGGGGTGGCCGACACTGTGCCTAGCCACCTTGGGGTGGCTCGGCTCATGGCCGAGCCACCCCAAGGTGGCTCGGCCACCGAGCCACCCCGAGGTGGCTCGGCCGCCGAGCCACCCCGAGGTGGCTCGGCCACCGAGCCACCGAGCCACCTCAAGGTGGCTCGGCTGAGGCCGAGCCACCTTGGGGTGGCTCGGCTTTGGCCGAGCCCCCGCGGGCGGTGTTTTCCGACTTTTTCGAGTCGTTTTCCGTTGTCTCGTTTGTCCGTGTTTCGGTTGACCTGAGACTCTGATTTGATGATCTGATTTGGCAGTAAATTGGATTCCTGATTTGGCAGTAAATCCGCTTCTGAGTTCGAGTCCGAAATTGATCTTGATTCGATCGTGATTCGTCCGAGTTTCCCCTTGGTTGGATGACTCGTTGACTCTTCGAACACTTGGCTTGATCCCACACGCGAATGGACGTATTTCGTTACTTGCGTGCGATTCGTCGATCTCGTCGCCTCGTTGGCTCGTCGGTTTGTGCCGAGCTATGCTAGGGGACCTATAAGCAATTTTATATGCCTACAGATACCCCCTCCAAAGTATTTCAGTCTCGTTCTTTTATAGAAGAGTCCGGAATACTTTGGATATGATCGTCCCCCACCTTCAGTCGGTGTAATGAGACCTTGGAATGATTTCCGTTCTTGATTCCTTCAGTTCTCCAGGCTTTTCGGTGCTTTGTCGAAAGTCTGTAAGAGTTCCGGTGCTGCATTTATTGTCTGACCGTTTGTCGGAATTTTCTGAACTTGAAGTCGATTCCTTTGAGCTGACCATTGATTGTGGCGTCGAGTCTTTATGCACAACGCGTTGTCCGGCGTAGTGTGGTTGAGTTATCCTTAAGAATATTTATAAACAATATTCTCCAGGAACTTCTCAAACCAAAAATAGGGAATAGTTTATACTCATATACCTTATTGGAGTATTAAGAAGCAGTTTATACTCGTATACTTTTCGGAGTGTTAAGAAGCAGTTTATACTCGTATACTTTTCGGAGTATTAAGAAGCAGTTTATACTCGTATACTTTTCGGAGTATTAAGAAGCAGTTTATACTCGTATACTTTTCGGAGTATTAAGAAGCAGTTTATACTCGTATACTTTTCGGAGTATTAAGAAGCAGTTTATACTCGTATACTTTTCGGAGTATTAAGAAGCAGTTTATACTCGTATACTTTTCGGAGTATTAAGAAGCAGTTTATACTCGTATACTTTTCGGAGTATTAAGAAGCAGTTTATACTCGTATACTTTTCGGAGTATTAAGAAGCAGTTTATACTCGTATACTTTTCGGAGTATTAAGAAGCAGTTTATACTCGTATACTTTTCGGAGTATTAAGAAGCAGTTTATACTCGTATACTTTTCGGAGTATTAAGAAGCAGTTTATACTCGTATACTTTTCAGAGTATTAAGAAGCAGTTTATACTCGTATACTTTTCAGAGTATTAAGAAGCAGTTTATACTCGTATACTTTTCAGAGTATTAAGAAGCAGTTTATACTCGTATACTTTTCGGAGTATTAAGAAGCAGTTTATACTCGTATACTTTTCGGAGTATTAAGAAGCAGTTTATACTCGTATACTTTTCGGAGTATTAAGAAGCAGTTTATACTCGTATACTTTTCGGAGTATTAAGAAGCAGTTTATACTCGTATACTTTTCGGAGTATTAAGAAGCAGTTTATACTCGTATACTTTTCGGAGTATTAAGAAGCAGTTTATACTCGTATACTTTTCGGAGTATTAAGAAGCAGTTTATACTCGTATACTTTTCGGAGTATTAAGAAGCAGTTTATACTCGTATACTTTTCAGAGTATTAAGAAGCAGTTTATACTCGTATACTTTTCAGAGTATTAAGAAGCAGTTTATACTCGTATACTTTTCAGAGTATTAAGAAGCAGTTTATACTCGTATACTTTTCGGAGTATTAAGAAGCAGTTTATACTCGTATACTTTTCGGAGTATTAAGAAGCAGTTTATACTCGTATACTTTTCGGAGTATTAAGAAGCAGTTTATACTCGTATACTTTTCGGAGTATTAAGAAGCAGTTTATACTCGTATACTTTTCGGAGTATTAAGAAGCAGTTTATACTCGTATACTTTTCGGAGTATTAAGAAGCAGTTTATACTCGTATACTTTTCGGAGTATTAAGAAGCAGTTTATACTCGTATACTTTTCGGAGTATTAAGAAGCAGTTTATACTCGTATACTTTTCAGAGTATTAAGAAGCAGTTTATACTCGTATACTTTTCAGAGTATTAAGAAGCAGTTTATACTCGTATACTTTTCAGAGTATTAAGAAGCAGTTTATACTCGTATACTTTTCGGAGTATTAAGAAGCAGTTTATACTCGTATACTTTTCGGAGTATTAAGAAGCAGTTTATACTCGTATACTTTTCGGAGTATTAAGAAGCAGTTTATACTCGTATACTTTTCGGAGTATTAAGAAGCAGTTTATACTCGTATACTTTTCGGAGTATTAAGAAGCAGTTTATACTCGTATACTTTTCGGAGTATTAAGAAGCAGTTTATACTCGTATACTTTTCGGAGTATTAAGAAGCAGTTTATACTCGTATACTTTTCGGAGTATTAAGAAGCAGTTTATACTCGTATACTTTTCAGAGTATTAAGAAGCAGTTTATACTCGTATACTTTTCAGAGTATTAAGAAGCAGTTTATACTCGTATACTTTTCAGAGTATTAAGAAGCAGTTTATACTCGTATACTTTTCGGAGTATTAAGAAGCAGTTTATACTCGTATACTTTTCGGAGTATTAAGAAGCAGTTTATACTCGTATACTTTTCGGAGTATTAAGAAGCAGTTTATACTCGTATACTTTTCGGAGTATTAAGAAGCAGTTTATACTCGTATACTTTTCGGAGTATTAAGAAGCAGTTTATACTCGTATACTTTTCGGAGTATTAAGAAGCAGTTTATACTCGTATACTTTTCGGAGTATTAAGAAGCAGTTTATACTCGTATACTTTTCGGAGTATTAAGAAGCAGTTTATACTCGTATACTTTTCAGAGTATTAAGAAGCAGTTTATACTCGTATACTTTTCAGAGTATTAAGAAGCAGTTTATACTCGTATACTTTTCAGAGTATTAAGAAGCAGTTTATACTCGTATACTTTTC